GTTAAATTTGAATGCCCTACCAAACAGCTGGACGTAATGATGCGTAAAATATTGACAAGGTGCATGCATTAGAATTTAGTTAGGAATATCTCCTGGTAAAGTGCGCGATTTTCTGCTCCTGGGAATTAAAAACAGCTTCTTAAACAGTTTCTTTATGCATAACATTTACTTATGTCAATCATTTATGCACCGGTGGGAACCAACAGAGCGCTAAGGCATTCAAATTCTAACAATTAAATTGTTATTGGTGATTTTAATAGTTTTCGTTTTTTGGGACACCCTCAGGGTGTCCCGAAAAAAACGAAAACTATTGAAATCACTATTGTTAAAATTGAATGCCCTTCCAAGCAGCTGAACGTAATGATGCGTAAAATATTGACAAGGTGCATGTATTAAAATTTAGTTAAGAACATCTCCTTGCAAAGTGCGCGATTTTCTGCTCTTGGGAATTTAAAACAGCTTCTTAAACAGTTTCTTTATGCATAAAATTTACTTACGTCAATCATTTATGCACTCGTGGGAACCAACAGAGTGCGAAGGCATTCAAATTCTAACAATTAAATTGTTATTGGTGATTTCAATAGTTTTCGGGTTTTTTGGGACACCCTTACTGTACGTAGATAGCATGTTACGCACTCGTGGGTTTAGCAAAGTGCTCCCGGATTCAAATTATAACAATGGTTGATTTAGCATATGTGCAATTGAAAAAGGCATTTTGTTGACATTGAGTTATATCAACACGGCTCTTAGCCAATCAGCGTTCAGAATTTACAAATGCTATACAGGGTGTATAAAAAAAAACGCAACCTCGGAATTTCCCAAGAAATCGACATGGTTTTAAAGACAAAAGATTCTAGGCGCCTGGGAATTTAAAATAGCACAACTGTCAAGATTATTGCACACGCGAATGCATAAAGCAAAATTTATGCATTTATTTAATGCACAACAACAGTAATATGATCTATTAGCAATTCGATTTCAATTCCCACGGGCCTAAAATCTTTTATGCTTAAGAATTGCAAAGTGATTTCTTAGGAAATTCCGAGGTTGCGTTTTTTTTATACACCCTGTATTATAAATCCATATAAAACCGCACATGCTAAGAAAGTAGAATTCGAACATTTAGCCGACCCTTGACTTTGTGCACGGTGTTTGATATTCAAATTACACTTTTCCTACCTCCTGAACAGGCGTCTTAGCCTCTTAGGGGCTGTTCGCATGATGGAGGCAGGACGATTTTGATGTAAATATTGAAATATTAGTCACCAGGTAAAAGAAAGTTCAAATGCTGGTGAACAGATCTCAAATGTTGTACAGAAGATCTAAATTTGACTTGTGGTTCAAGAAGCTAGGTTATTATGCTTGAACAACATTTCATTTACAGTTAAGTTAAATATAATCCATCTCTAGAAAATAATGAAGTTTTTTGCTGAATTATGCACTGTGACTTATTTCTGCACATTGAAATCATCCTGCCTCATATATATCCTGGCAAAGTGGGATCATATAAACAGACCCTTATTCAGCAAATTGCGCATGTTGCTTTCCATCCCTTGGGGCGAGGCAGCATTTCCTTGCGATAGTAACTTCTAGTAAAATAATTTAACCATTTATAACTTAGCTCTATATATTAGCTGAAACATAATCAGTGTGGTTCGCTCATAGAAATAATTTTTTTTTAAATTTTAGGCTTTAGCTTTTCAATTTAAAATCGCGTATTTATGAAAGATGTTAGGTGCAATACCCGAAAACAATGTCAACGAAAACGTACATGCGCGTAGCGAACAAAACCCAAAACAAACTTGCCGTATATTTAAGAGAACTGTAGATCGGTATAGAGATTCTATTTCCCGAAAAAATACAAGGATCACTTCAACATTTCGAGTGAAGGCCTTCGTCGAAAAGTTCAGAGTAGCATGGATTGGGAAAATACATGTGCTTTTATACTAGTGAATATAAAAGCATCACGTGACAAAAAAATAAACCAATCAGATGGATTTGGTCAAAACACGGTTAATATTCTATTAACCGTGGTCAAAACAAAGTGTAAACAAAAAATGTAAACCACATTACAGAATATATTACTAAGAAAAAAGGAAGGAAAATACGGAGTAATACAAAAAATATAAGGAATATAATGAAACAAGTAAGGAATAAGGTGAGAATAAAGTTAGGAAAGGACCGATATAGCTAAACATAGGAAAAACGTTCATTTATACCATAGGGGTGGGCAGTGCCAAGTTTGGAATTGTGGAGCATTTCATGCAGGTTTTTTGCGGCTATCATTCAATTCTACCAGAAATAGGACAGAGGGCTCGAATTTTCATATCTGAAACACTGTGATTGCCAATATTAAAATGTCTGGCAACAGGTTGGTTGACACCGTTACCAATTACAGCACGCTGATATTCACCAAACCTTGTCCTCAAAAGTCTTCCAGTTTCTCCAATATAAAGTATAATATTCTCTTTGAACATCAAATATACAAGCTAGTTTTGTTCTCGAGTCTCCATGTTCTCTCCCTTATATCCGTCCACCTGTCACGTGTCCCCCACGTGATAACATAGGATATTACATAAAGCATGCCACATTTATTTGCCACGAGATGCAGTACATGGGATGGGAGCTTGATCAGATATGCAGAGATTTAAGCCCCAAAATGGTAGTAGAGGAATCTATGCATGAACTCATAAGTTTTACATTGCGCTACCCGACAAGCGACAGGGATGGTGATTGGCACCACCTACGCTGGCACCTTATATTTCACGATTTCCCGCCTTATATTTCTTCTTGTAATTTCATTGAAGTAGAGGTCGCGTTACAGCTCATTGTATAAAAGACTTTCCCGCGCGCGTATATGTTTTGAAAATCGTGGCAGTTGGCTCATTCCACTCCACCACTCCCCCACCTTTGAAACCGCTGGCAGATTTCCATTTTCCTGCAAACCTTACAGACTCTGCTTAATTAAACTACTAAATATTTTTGGCCCTTTAAATTTACCACTCTATTCTATACACTCACTTATTTGAAATTACCACTCTATTCCATAGCATCATTCATTTTATATTTTTGAAGTGGTTAGAGGTTCGTCAATTTCCGAGGGACATTAAATTAAAGGATATTTTCAGGGATTTTTAAGGACATTTAAGGTTATTTGTGGATTAATGAGTAAAAACCTGCTAGGCCTATAGGAACGCCCTTATCGCTTCCGCGGTAGCAAGCAATGCATAACCTAAACTTTAGCGGCAATTTATCAGTCTGATGAGCTCCGTATTCTGTGCGAAGGACTGCATGCAAAAGATCAATAACAGTACACCGTTCTGAATAAAATAATGGCAATGTGCAGGAGCACAATGCCGATTTAATGATTAACACAAAAATATCAAATTACAAATAAATGTTACAAATTTAGTATTCATGCATAGCACAGAAAAGGTGGGGTGTTAAAAAACGCCCCATATACAAAAACCGCCAGTAACGTGTATCGTAGGACGCAAAATGAGGAAAGGGAGGGCAGGAGGGAAAGGAAAACTCGTGAGGAGGACTTGAAAACTTGCCTTGCGAAGCCAAAGGTGAATGACCTTGAGCTGTAAGCTGTTAACGCTCAACGTTTTTATATAGTAGGCCCAAGATGCACGTGAAGCGTGACATGGAAAATTCCACGGGAAATAAAACTGGTTGAACGAGTTTCCCTGCCAGGTTCCCTCCATAACCCCATTCTGCGTGCTACCCCGAATCCTTAAATATCCCAAAAAAATTCCCACGGAAGCAATAAATTGATTATTCGCTAAAGCAAATAACTCCTTTATTTATTTTCTATATGATAGAAGTTCACCTTCAACACGAGTAACTCACGATCTCGTCATCACAACTGGTTTCCTCTCGAAATTTAACTCAAACAACCCCAAAAACCTTTCCACCATGCATATTTAATTTCGTAAACACGAAATTAGTTTCAGCAACAAAAAGCAAGAATATCACACAAAATCTTAGTCAAACCATAGACAATCCAAAAGATATCTTCACGTCTTTTGGATTGTCTGTGGTCAAACACATCCATGTTTGTATTTTTATGAATCGCCATTTGAACATGGCTGCCGCGCCATCTTGAAAAATATACGGACTTACGACGAATGCTGAAAGTTGCTGAGTGGCACTCGGATTGGAGTTGAATTGATGTCCAAAATTTATCGCCATGAGTTTTGCGGGATATATAAATGTGGGATTTTCAATTGCCATCCACAATAAGCACGATTTAACTAATTGTGACGTCATAATGAACGCGCGCACTTTTTATGAACCTACGAAGTTGTTTTCCCTGGAATTGATCTAACTGACGTGTTGCCATGGGAAATACTAACAGCCGTAGGCAAAGAAATAAGTCGTTACGAGCTGGAACCACCGACAAAGATAAACAACTCAACACTTTAGCCAACAATGCTTCTCTAAGAAACAAAAACAAACAATCCACTATTTCGCCAAATAATCTGAAAAAACCAGTAGAGACTGTTATACCGCGTCCAAAACAGGCACAAAAATCAGGTAGATCGAAAATAAATCAAAGGCCGAAAGAGTCAAAGAAAAACGCTGAGTCCAGAGTAAACAGGGTGGAATCTGCTAAGTGTGTTGATAAAGTATGTATATTGCATGTACACTACGAAGACATGGGGCAAGTTGTATATTAACTAGGCTACTTTTTAACCATCCGTTTTGTAGTCAAATAGTGGTAACTTTGGCCATGCAAAAAATGTAGTTAGCGCAAACTGCAGTTAGAAAGTGGTTAAAGTTGACTATGCTTCAGGGTATCGTTAACTTCTCAAAACGTAGTTAAAAATGGCGCTTTTATAGGAGTAAACAACATTTTTCAGTAAGACAATCTTGGAACGCCTATAACCACTATTTAACTACAAAATAGTGATTACGACGAATAAAAAAAGTGATCAAGAGGTTTATACAACCGAGAAAAAAAGTGATTAAGAGGGTTTTTTTATCAATTCCAGGGCAAACAACTTCGTAGGTTCATAAAAAGTGCGCGCGTTCATTATGACGTCATAATTAGTTAAATCGTGCCTATTGTGGATGGCAATTGAAAATCCCACATTTATATATCCCGCAAAACCCATGGCGAGAAATTTTGCACATTAATTCAACTCCGATCCGTGTACCACTCAGCAACTTTCAGCATTCGTCGTAATTACTATTTAAAAGTGATTAAGAGGTTTATACAACCGCCCCCTGGACATGAAGTTGTGAATACAACGCGCATAACTGTACATGCATGTTACAACGCGCATAACTGTACATAAGAAATCTGGTGCAGGAAATTTCTTTTCTTATTAAGTGTGCCAAGAATTTTTTCTCAGGATTGTAGTTAATTATAATTTATATACTGCATGCCCATAATGTTAAGGCAAAAATTTGATGTAAAAAGCGCCAGTAATAATTAAAATAAACAAATGCGTGTGCATGCATGTGCAAGGGTGTCAAGGGCATAAATAGAAGTTGAAGGGTTATGTAGATGGAACTTATCGAGTGCAACTTTATAGTTGCACTCTCTGTAGCTCAGTTGGTTAGAACGCTGCACAGGAATCGCAGGGTGGCAGGTTCGATTCCTGCCAGGGACGTAAAGTTGTATTTTTCGCTTCTGTTCCTGGTTAGGTATGATAAATGTATTTAAATTTTCACTCGATAATTTCCATCTACATTACCCTTCAACTAATATTCAATCGAGTGAGATGCTAAAAAAATCTTTATATTAATGGAAGTTTGATGTTACGTCTTGCAGTGTCATATAAGATGATGCATTGACGACTATCACAGAATAGGTAGAAATACCGATTTCATGTTTAATCATAAACATGAAGAGAATGGAAATTGATTGTTTTACCAAAAATGACCATCATATAGCAAATTGTTAATTCACTGCTATTAAATTAGTAACAGAGGCGTAGCTATGAGTAAAAATGAGGGGGGGGGGCAGTCAGGATCTTCCCTCTACTCTTCTTCAGAGAATGCACAGATTGTCGTTCTTCATTTCAAGCAACATTTCGTTCTTCATTTGACGCTAGAAGTACTGGAATACTGAGATTTTAACAAATTCTATAACAATTTATGCTCTCCGTCGTTCACGAACGGAGGGAACAATTGCATCTTGTTAAAATAATACTGATATAAGACTATTTAAAATAGGGCTATATTTCCATTCATTTTCAGAATGATGGTGTACCGATGGATTCAGATGGAAATTTTAAAATAACGTCAGACGAAAACCGCCATTTAAATGTACCCATTGCATTTCTGGAAAGAAAATTTTCCTTAAATGTACAGTTCATGATCTACTTCATGTTAATATTTATGATACTTATAAATGTTTTAATTGTATTACACTTAGTACAATTTTTCTATGGACATACAGATTGTGGAGACTGACAGAATAAAACATATCGATTGGTATTACGTATTCTTTCATTCTTTTTTTACCATACAAGACTGCAACATATAATTTAGGAAAAAACAATATCACTATTCCTAGTTGTGTAACATATAACAACATACAACTTAGGAAAAACAATATCACTATTCCTAGTTGCAATCCTTGATGAATAATATAAAGATCTGCAGTTTATTTGCCAAGTCATAATTAAAATTGACATGTTGGATTTGATGCTATTGCAGCTCATGCTGATGCAGTGAAATGCATATAACTGCATGGAAAGCTACCTTCGGATAAACTGCCTATCTTTTATGACCCTGTATATTGTAAGCCGGTTTTCAAGAATACACATTCACGTTGATCACATATACATGAAGAGATTGGGACTGGCCTTGAAATTTTCTGTTGGAGGTAGGTTACGTTCCAGTTCTATTCCTCAGTTTCACTGTGCTGATGCGAACGTGTTGAAATTGCGTTTGCCGCTAAGAACCATAATCAAATTGTGATTTTCAGTTTGTAGAATTAGTTAAAATTATTGCATTCAGTTTTATTAAAATTGGGCAGCAGCTAGCTGAGTCCCCTTTTCAAAAGGAATTCGAACAATAAGTCATATAGGCACGTGCACTAGAACGACACAAATGTATTACGAAAGTCACCGAACTGTGGAATCGCATCAAAAGTTGTTTCATCCAATCACAATGCTAAACAGTTAATTTTAATTAGATGCAAGCACTCGCAGCGAGTTGCGAGGAGCTTCGTGCGAGGACTGTAAATCCGCCTTAAGTCATGTTATTCTTTGCCATATTTTGGCTTCAAAATATCTTGATTTTATCTTGAATTGGCTGTCTTGTTTTCACCCTTCTACTTGTGATATTATTCCGAAGTTATCTATATCAACATAGAAACTTATTCTCATCTGGTAAGTAGTCAAATACTACATATTTTATTATATACATTTATACAGTATAAAAACAATCATTGTGTAATATTTTATACGTACAGTCAAAACTCTGGCTGCAAGCATTATATTGCCAATTAACAATGGCAAGAAACTAATGTTCTCAGGAGATATAGAATTAAATCCTGGTTCTGTATTTCTGTACCTCTGTTCAAAACAACAGTCCAACTAAGTTGTCACCAAATGTAGTGATAGAGCAAAGGGAAAGATGTCATCAGTTAAAATTATACTTTATATACATTTTGGTTTTGCACATTAGAGTTAATTAAACAAAATTGTTACAACCACTTTCAAATGCTAATAAAAGAATCCCCACCCTCCCTCCTCATTACATTGTCATCTTGCTTTCTAATACAAATGTTTTTGTTTAGAGATTAATACAAGAATGATGAATGCATGTACTTGTACTGGATATTGGCTGGATAATTTTGTCAGAACAACCCACTTGCAGTGGCGGAAATTCACTTTTTACGGTGGGAGGCGAAGCCTTCTAAATTTCTGACAAAACTTTCAAAATTTCCGAAAATTCGGCGCCCCCCCCCCCCGTCCCACCGAGATTTCCGCCACTGCTCACTTGCAAGACAATCTTACCTAAATTCATTAGTATGGAAAATAACTTAACAGCTACAATAATATATATTATATGGATGGATCAGATCAATGGCACACAATGTACAAATTAAAACTAAACTTGTGATACCTTCTACTCAAACAGATATTCTCCCACAACACAAATTGTTTTTGTGTGGATATGCTGAGTTAAACCGAACAGTGTGGTATATCATTAACTGTGCACAGGATTGGAATTGAATTATATACTTCACTCATGACCTTCAAAACATCTACTATTCAGTGGTCTTCAGTATATGATTGACTCTTTTCCTCGATTAGTTTGTGTATGTTACTCAACAGTTAACATTGCCAAGTGTTACAAACAACAAGTGACAGAACTGTTGCTTCATATGATTACAATAAAGTTTTGAAAATTCGATGAGTATGGATTGACAAGTGACAGTTTACTAAATAGCCGGCTGTATAGACACTTCGAATATTGTTTGCATGAAATTTTTATTTCTTGACAGCATAATTATCCATTACAAGCATAATCATGCACATTATAAAATTAGTTAAATTTTCTCGGCGGGAGGGGGGGGGGCAGTTGCCCCTGCTGCCCTCTGTGCCCTGCCTTGTTAGATTTGTATTATGTTTAATTTGTATTATGTCGTATTTGCTATTATATTTATCATAATAAGTAATGAAAGTAGATATGGGTTTTTGTTTGGTGGCCCAACCGTGAACATACAAAATAATTGGCGGCCCATCGAAACTGCCCCAAGATTTTCCATGGCCCATCCCAAATCACTCCAGCCCACCCTAGCAGTTACTTTATGACCGGTCCCTTACAATAAAACGTCGATTGGCTGTTTAAAATTAGAATTGTAAACATGCAAAAATATGTAGGTGTGGTCGTAGACATTTGAGGGAGTGGCGACGATACGAATTTTTTATGCGATTCCACAGTTCGGTGACTTTCGTAATATATGATTGTTTTGAAAAATATATGAGAGTATACACACGTAAAAACGCATAAGTTGTTACAAGTCTCAAATGTTCACAAGCTGTCAACAAGTTGTGTTCCCACTGCTTGTTCCCAGTTGTTGTAACAGGATCAAGCTGTTAACAGCTTGCAACAAGCTTGATGGCATTATGAGACTTGTTACAAGGTTGTTCCATATATATGTTATATACACTAGATAGTGCATCTAATTATTCTGCAATTCAAAAATTGAAGCCGTGATTGCAGACTCAGGATATTCCCATGAAATGAGAAGACTCGTATATTTTCTATTTCTTAAACAGGGAAATTTAAACATTAAGTTAAACCTATTCCAAATACATTTTTAAACTATTCAAATGATGAAAGTTATTGTTGTTTTTTAAGCGTTTATTAGCGAGTGGGAACTACCAACATGGCCGCCATCTATTCAAATGGGGGTAACCGCTGGAAAATTCTAGAGATGCGCTATCTAGTGTATATAAGATATCTAACAAGTCTGGTACAGTCATGATAAACAAGAATGTTACAAGGTTAATGATACAAGGTTGGATAACAATACTGCTATATCATGACTGTATCGGACTTGTTGGAACAACCTTGCAACAAGCCTGATAGTATCAACAAGGTTGTTACAAATTGTTAACAGTTTGTTCCAAACTTGTTGACAACTTGTGACAAGCAGTGCGAAGACAACTTGTTGATGACTTGTTGACAAACTTGCTCACAAGATGTGAGATTTTTGTGTGTGTCAGCACTTTAATTACTTCAAGCGACAAGGGCTTTGAATTAACAATAGGGAATTTGAGGGAAAAAACAAAAGATTATGCAAATATATATATATATATATATATATATATATATATATATATATATATATATATATATATTTAATTTCTATGTTTAGAATTATTTCTAAATACAGTAAGCTATATATATTTAGAAATAACTTCTAAATACAAAAACATACAATCACACTTCAAACAACAAAATATGTTCATGTTATAAGTTACACACTTCGTATAGGTAATAGCATGGTTTCGAGTGCAATTTGGATATAACATGCACGAGTGAGTTTTTCAAAGACCTCAAAATAGCACGAGTCCGAAGGACGCACGAGTGCATGTTTATCTAAATTTCACGAGAAACGATGCTGTTACTTATTAATAATTTACATAAAAATGTTCGAGACAATTGTAGTTTTAACTTAAGAGTTAAGCCCGTTTTCCACTCACATATTTCGCCGCCGCTGGCGAAAAATTTTGACAAACAAATATTTTTTTTTACATTCATTCGCCGCTGAAGAAATTTGTTCTCCAGCTACAGTTGCTTAAAATTTTCAACTTCTGTTTGACCTTTCGTCGACGGCGCGAAAGATTAAGGCCCACACAGACCGGACGCGATTCGGCAACGCGACGCGAATTTTCAGTTTTCAAAAACAAATAAAACCGTCAACGGATAAAAATTTTACAAGATATGCAAACCAAATGGGTAAAATTGCTTAAATTAAGTGGTTCCGAATATTTGAAAAACATTGGAAAATATTAAAAAATTCGCGTCGCGTTGCCAAACGCCTCCGGTCTGTATGGGCCTTTACGCGTTTATAGCGATTAGCGAACATTCCACTGGCAAAGTTTTTCTGGCTTTGTTATATCACATTATACAACGCTAACAGCTTGAAAATTCCACTCAACTATGTAATTTTTGTTAGTTTATTTTGTTTAAGGTAAATGCTTTTCCATTTAAAAATAAAGATAAAAGCCATATGAATAACAACATAACAAAACCTTTAATTCGTCCCTTCGTTAAGCGCGCATTCGCTTTATTGGACATCTTAATTAATTTCCTATTGTTACTTCCTCAATGCTATGAATATCTAACGATGTGTGATAAGCCATTTCAAATCCTCATGGTGTTTTAGACAGCTTGGCTTCCAAATCCCAAAGTGCCACGAAGTCCCACTTCGATTTAGAAACCACGTGTAAAAAACCAACTCCGATTTGAATATTACTTATCATTTAAATCCTTTGTTTTCTCATTTGTTTCTTTATATCTTTCTTGTTGCGATTACGGACACAAATTTGTTAAATTCTTTAAAGAGTTCGCGTTCGTACCATGCACGGTTCTATAATGCATCCCACGCAGGACGGCTCTTGACCGGCTCTTTTCATTTCTGGTATTTATGAAGTGCTATAACTTCGGAATATTTATAGATTGACTTATAAAGCGTCTATATCCTAAAAGTCTATCTTTTGAATCCTGATTCCGGTTGCAAGTTATGCTATACATGTATGTATACATAACCACTCAGCAGGCATAATGATTTCACCACCTTTCAGCCTCGTACTCAGGCGCAAATAACGTACTAAAAATGGCAACACTACAGTGTTTTATATAGATCAGTGGCTAAGATGAGCGAGCGCGCGGAGGTGCTTGGGGAGGACAGGACGGGCCCCACGCGCTCGCTCATCTTAGCTACTGATCTGTATAGAAAAACTGTAGTGTTGTTTAGTTTTGCTATTTTTAGTACGTTATTTGCGCCTGGGTATGAGGCTGACCGCCTTTGTTTTACTGCAGCTTGCATGCATGCGGTATACCGTTCGGTACAGCATGGCAATAGAGACCTTAGGACGGCAACGCGACGGCAACGGCTACCAATACAATAGACATTTGAAAAGAATTGAGTAATTACAATATATGAATAATTTAGACATTGTCCTCGCTCTGTTTACAACGCTAAAAAAAATTTCACGTCTTGATACAACGTACGGCTGCATTCCAAGCCACAACAAGTGCAACTTCAAACTGGGTTTAGCAGAACTCTTCCCAACCATAAAACCCATGTCTTCAATTTCTAAAACTGTATTAAATTTATACGATTGATAATATACGACGAACTATCGAGTTTGTCTTCGCCGTCGCCGTCGCGGTCCCGAAATTGTAAGAGTCTAATGATGATCGCGCGAGCGTAATTAATAGCAATTAAAATCTAATTAGTTCATTCGCCAGTCACGCAAGTCGTAATATATTTCTAGTCAACATCTAACTAATCTAAGCGTCTGTATGTCTGGATACGCAACTATATAAGTATGGATTAAGGTACCTTATAATTAGCTATATTTTGAGTAATTGTGTACTAGTGCAAAATAATTTGTACTGTATGTTATGCTATCAAGTACACTGGCTCGATCTCAGAAATATAATAGAGAGGTTTAGCAAAGACGACGCGACGTCAAAGACGATGTGAAAATGGCGTGGATGTTCCCACGCCACTTTTACGCCATTTTCACGTCGTCTTTGACGTCGCGTCGTCTTTGACGTCGCGTCGTCTTTGCTAAACCTCCCTATTAATACATGCGTGAACGTTGTCCCATGTACGGTGTTATATTACCTTGTCGACCTTGTGGTATTTGCTTCTTGAAGACTAATACATATTCCAGTGAGCATTTCTTACTACGAAAACATGAAAGTCAAGCATAAAATTTAAATTTTAATGCGCTATATTTACCTTAGCTATTAAATTTGAAATGTATAGACAATCTTAGTCAAAACGATCACCGACATTCTATAAAACATTCCGCTAGTCTGTGGCCTAAAGAGGAAGTTTTTTTAGGACGGAACTTTTAATTTAGGACAGAGGAAATGTTTAGGACGGAAATTTTCCCGGTCACATGTGGTTGAATTGATAAGGCATTATGAACAACTTCTCCTAATTAGCTTTTCTCACTGGTGGCCGATTTTTTGGCGCTATTTCTGGTACTGCCTCTCCCACGTTTCATATATAGTCTCCGCATATACCACGAAACGCGAATTTTTAGTATTATATTTCTTTGCATAATTATGGGAAAAGAATAACAAGGAATTTCCCTAATTTTCTTTGGTAAAGAATTCCATACAAATGCTCCATCATTCAAACATGAAATTTCTTTTCATGAGACTGTGGTAAATATAAAAGAACATTTGTTATATCCCTAAGTTCATAGTTTGTAATCACACTTTTATAGCTAAACGACGTTCGCTTATATACGTACTGATGGCGGGTCTTTTAATAACCGCACGCATTTCAGTACATCACTAACATATCAATAGGATTAGCGATGTCTAAACAGCCGACTCATGCCCAAATTAAAATTTGCTGATCTGTCGCCCACGCGCCTGTCGCGGAAATATAATATAATATGCCCGACAAAAAATGCAAAATTAGATCCTCTAATTCGAAATTGAAAGGGAAACTGTTTTACATGCATTACTGTTTCACTGTAAGCCAAATTAAATACGCTGGTATTGTTTCTCCACATAATGATGACCCCAATTTCCTTACACGTCCTATATAGTCTTGCTTATAAAGCATAGGAACATTCTTAATTGATGTTTACATTAAGGCGTCATACGAAGGTTGAATCATGTATCCATACAATAAATAAAAAACTGAAATCTGTATATATTAAAATTAAAGCATCTTTGGTGAAACCGGATTAATTTTGTTTTTTCGCTAAAGCATAAAAAGCATTTTTCAATATTTGTCTTGTCAGCATACATATGAATATATGATTTCTAATTTATTCACGATGGGGATAATTTACCCTGTTTATTTTAACATCCACACTATTTGAATTATTAACTTCACTTGATATTCCGCACTCTGCGAGTTCTAACCTGCTGTTACCTGTATCAACTGTGAAGCAAGACATGGAGAGAAAATGCGTATCTATCGTTTTATTCGTCCTGATACTGATTCAAACAACGAAACAGGAATCGTTATGTAACAGTAAGTGATCAACAGTATGGCCAAGGAATTTGATTAAAAGTTGGTGTGGTTTCGAATTGAGTTTGCCGACTCAGATTCCGACTCAGATATCGACTCAGATTCTCATTGATTACTTTGGCGCAAAGTGTGTCCAAACAATATAGCGACAGGGCTTCTTTCAATTTCTGGATTGCATTCATCTATAGGTAGCTAATGGCTAAAAGGAGGGAGGTTTTCAAGATAGTTTAGAAAATTTAAACTCGGAGTTTGCTTCAATTTAGGTCTAATGTTAGGGTTATAGGAGTGAGGTATAATGGTTAGGATCAAGGCAATGTTGGGAAGTTGATTCTTTTGCGTTTTAATTATGTTGAAAACGCCGCCATCTTAAAAACATCCCTCTCTTCTATTTCCTTTAACAGCAACCTTCATCCATAGGCTATATTTTGTCCAAAATATTCAATTATGAAGTAGAATCTTTTTTATTGACATATTGACACACTGCATTTTGTTCGAATATTATTGTGCAATATGATATGTCTCGTGGTGCGTATACATGTAGCCCTCCTTGTATTCGCACTTTGGTGCGAAACATTTGAGCTAGCAATATAGTTTTCTTGATACAATTTGACCCTGGCTGCAGCGGCTGATATTCGTGTATATAATTTATTATGTATAATGATGATAATATAGAGAATAATGTTGATAAAATGCATGCATATCACATACATGATCTAATATATACAGCCGCGATAATTCTGTAGAATTATATACTACTTGCTTCATTTTGTTTTATATAGAAATGTATTTTGACATAACACGGCACTGACTTCGTAGATGAAGGGGGTTCAAAATTATATATCTATACGTATTAGGTGGCAAATGGCTGCTTTAATGAAATGTTTATATTGTGTGTAAACATTCACATCTCGCCATGAGGTACAATTATTAGGCATATCATATGTTAAACGTCGCTGACTCAATATCAGTTTAGTCTCATAATTATTTAGCGCACAATAGGGTTAGGATATAGGATTGTGATTGGAGCACGAATATATATTGCACGAATATATTGCTTTTTCGCTTATAATTTTGGCGGCAAACTCCATGCGGGCCATGCGGCATACCTGCAGTGTTGATTGTAACGATGTTGTTAATTGTGAATTGTATAACTACGATATTGCTCGGGAAGAACAATGATTCAGCGAACAATATGAATTTCCAAAACATATTGCGATTTGCATGGATCCCCGACGGGCATTGCCTATATATTATATTTTCTGTTTGAAACAACGCTAGCGCAGCAGAAATTTAAAAATCTAACCGGTCTCAAAATTTTGCGTACTTTGGCCGAATTTTGACCGGCTTTTTTCATTTCTGGTATTTATGAAGTGCTATAACATTGAATATTTATAGATTGACTGATGAAGCGTCTATCCTAAAAGTCTATTCTTTGAATCCGACTCCGGTTGTCAGTATGTTGTATGCATGTATACACTCAGCAGGCATCAGATGAAACATCTCACGTGGTCGATGGTCGTAATTAAAATTGATTGAGAAGTAGAACTGTGATGTTGCATGGTGCCGTCTTGCTGCCCAGATACTGTCAATAAATAGCTAAAGTAATTTGCTTAGAACGTGGATTTGATTATTAATTTCACAGAATGCAAGGCCAGCTAGTGTACCGAGGCTACCGAACCATTACAGAAAATGTAGGGTGGACAATTTAAGTTTAGTTATTACTCGACTCGGGTTGAACCATTGACTCGACCCGACGCGATCAGTAAGTGATACGACTCGACTCGTGAATCGACCGACCTTTGAGTGACTCGACCCGTGACTCGACCTGTAGGTGAAAATATTGTTTTAACTAAAGTAAAACAAATGGTTTTGGAACAATATTGCTGACAGAAAAGTTGACATATTTTATACATATGTTTTACAGTAAAGTGCGCCTGCCTGGCAGGGGGTCAATGGAAAATATCGCCTGCCCATAAACTATAAGTAGTTTGAGTTCTAAACAAACGTATAAGAATTCACACTCGACTCGAAATTTCCATCTACAAAACCCTTCAACATTGAATCAAGTGAGGTGCCCAGAATCATCTTGATATTACTATAGATATACATTGCCATGGGATTACCGTAGTTTACTTACATCAACTTGTGACTTGAGTTCATCAACTGGCTTCAGTATAGGTCAGCCAATAGACCTTTCCCCTTTAGAGTGAAATTTTAATCTAGACAAGTCAGAAGGGACAAAAATTTCATCACAGCTTGAAAGAGCATCACAAAATTAGTAATATTCCGAAGTTTCGTTGCGAAATGTTGTAAAATGCGGATAATATATAGCCTTGCGAAGTTTGCCGTTTTCAGTCATTTTGCATTACAAACGGGAAATTGCAACGAAATTTCGGAATATTACTAATTTTGTGATGCCCTTTCAAGCTGGGATTAAATTTTTGTCCAAGCATATCTAGATCAAAATTTCACTCATAAGGGGAAAGGTCTATTTCCATTTACAAAACCTAGCTTTCAACATCAGGCTACGTTCACACTGTACCGCGGATAGCTTTCGACAGTGCGACGTGAAAAAAGACCCATCCATATACCTTTTAGGAACGCTATTTTCAAAGGAATCATTGCAACGGAGAGATACTGTTTCGCTCAGTTTTTGAAAGTCGTGCATTCCGTATCGGATATATAGGTTCTTTTTCGTGGCACTACGGAAAATATTCGGGTAAGATGCCAAGAATAATCGTACTGTGATAAGTTTGGGTTCCGCCATCCAAATGTGTCGGAGTGCTCCGGATTTTGGGAACACAAATGGAATGGAACAGAACACGATGACTGTTCGGAACTCTTCTGGCTGCCCCAACTTCAAAGTAGAGCCAGCTAGAACAGAACACGTGAGACTGTCCATTTTCACGTGATTGGAAATGGATGCGACAGATTTTGTGTATCCAATGCACACTGCATTAGAGTGTTATTTTGAAGGATTAATCGCTATATACCGACATATACTTATTATACGCTATCTGAACGGCGGGGTTGGGAAAAACCAACGAGTAAAAACGTTGCAAAAGCATACTTAGATATACAAATAACAGCAAATCATTATACGATTTATTATGCGAATAACTAATGACGAATTTGACAACGCTGTCCATCGAAAATTGTAAGTTCTATACTAAATACAGTCTGCGGTTTAATTAGTGGTGATTGGTTTAATATCGTGTATTGTATCCAACAATAGTCCAACTACATTCGTCTCCTATTTATACTACTCAGATTTTATTTATAATACAAACTTTTTAATTCAAACGTCTTGTATAAATATATAGGCTTTGCTAAAACATGCACGATAAATATAATTCCAAATCCTGTTGGCAAAATTGCTTTCACATCTCTACCAAGTATGATAGATGTTCGATTGACAAACCTTTGAATTTGATAAACAGTATCAAATTCACAGTATCTTTAAATTCCTTACCAGTATGACTCATGTTCGGTATTTTCTAAAATAAACACTACTTAGCGCACTATTATTATAATCTCCCGTCAATCAAAAATTGAAAAAAGAATCAAATTCAATATTCTAACCAATCGAAGTGCGCGGCAGCCAGCTACCCCGAGAACTCATAATCACCTTTCCTTCTCCAAATCAGGGCCTTCGATATTTTTCGTTGCCTGCCCTTCTTTCGTGCTCGGCAGTACCTCCTGCTCTGCAGGCATCCATACGAAATACTACTTTGCAATGAATTATTCGTCGTTTTTAGCTTATGGTAGTTCAATTCTACCAACATTTTAGTCAATATTAACATTTTTGGAATTATTAACATTACTTACTAACATTTTAGTCAAATACACCCTAGTTTTCTATTTTTGTACTTATTGTATTGTAATATTCTAGTTAACTTATAACTTATAGTCAGGGTCCCAGGGAGAGCGGCATTACGCTGATGGAGTTACCCTGAATAAATAAAGCTTCATAATCATCATGCTAATGAATTTACTAAATTTGTAAGTTCATTAATTTACATCGATTAGTTTTGAGCTTCGTGCAAATTGCGTTCAAATTCGAAATATATTTGAGAAATAGGTTTAGGTGCTTCTCAACTTTTTCTACTTTCGTACAAAGTCAGCAGTCAAATAGTGAATTGTGAACTCATTTCGCGTGGTGAGTTCATGAAGAAAATTACTACCGCCAAAATTTCGATTACTGATCTGTCGTTTTAATTCACAGAGAAAACCAGACCTCCACCTAGCGGATGCTGTCCAACGACATATATCGGTCAATGCTGCACCAGAGCAGGTGATAATGAAACTGTCCCACATTGTGAAAAACAACCAACATCTTCCACAAGAAATGGGTCAGGTGGTCCAAAATTTAAATTTAGAGGATTAAACTTCAACCCGAGGACTGACTGCGTTCACAGCTGGCGTACTCAGGCATGTGCGGGCGGATTTTACCTGAACATTACGAGTGGGAGACCACAAGCCTGCCCACCAGGTATGCAATTATTATTCCGGATATCCAGAATAATATAGGTCAGGTTAGTGTAATACTTACCGAGACTTTGATAATTCGGGATATCACAAAAACCGAATTCAATGACTGTTTTATTATATATATACATTGCATTTGTACATAGCCTATCGAAGGGAAGATGGCTGTGAAACTCATTTGAATAACAATATAACTCATTATCTATGTTGGTCAACGTTTATTCATAAATCTGGTCCTTCACCGTCACGTGTGTATTGTATTCTTGCCCAACTACCAACAGCAATGTTTTAGAAAAGTCACCTATCCGTGACTCGAACAATAGGGAAACTGCAAATTGCTGTTGGTAGATTTGGTAAAAGTACAATACACACGTGACGGTGAAACGACCAGATTTATGAATAAACGTTGACTAACATAGATAATGAGTTATATTGTTATTCTAATGAGTTTCACAACCATCTTCCCTTCGATAGGCTATGATTTGTACAACTCCGAGAAACAATGATTTGTCTGACAAAACAACATTTGTTTCTCAATGAGAGCATAGAAATCTCAGAAATCTCTTCTATTCTTCAGATAAAAATATACAAATGTCTCCTTTTTGCACAAAAACATTTATGAAAACGCTGTTCATTCATGTTGTCTTTTCTTGTTTTTATCTGTGTATTTAAAATTGCCAGTAATCGCAATATCACTCCGGCGCGCGTGCTCAACCTGCAGCATAACTCAGTTATCTGCTAGCAGGTTACTGCATGTGTTGTGTGTAGGTTGCGTGATTTCCATGCATATTTAGTTGTAAATTATTGGCCAATCAGTAGACACGTTGACTACAATGTATAGTAATAGGTTTAACTGACTGTTTATAGTGGTTGTTAGACTAGAAATAAATAACTTCCTATATATGCACCGTGTCGTTAAATTTCATTTTTTGAACTTAGGTTTCTTTTGCCCACCTCAACTGCTGTGCATAATTCCTTGTCCATCTGGTGCTTTTTGTATCCCCAAGAGAAAGAGAATCGAAACCGTAAGTATATATGTATGTATGTATTGTATACTGTAAGCAGCTACGCGTCCTACGCAAAAGAGATAATCAACGCATTATTTTTAGCACAGGTGATATTTGGGTTGTTCTAAGAAGTAATGTATAATATATATACTCTATCTCTACCCAACATTACACTATTTGTTATATATTAACACTGAATTAATAGGAGCTGGAACTGAAAGAATTACCTTAAAATTTTCTTGTTTTTTAATCGACAGGACGAAGTGAAGTGCAACGGTTTCGGTGTCTGCTGTGGTAACAACGATCCTCCTCTTGTGTTGAACACATCAGCAGCAAGAAAATGTGATGGACTTGATGACAAAAACTGTATATGTGGAGGAACAGATATTCCTAAACCTTGTCCCGGAGGATATTACTGCCCAACACCTGATATTAGGAAACCATGTGGTTCTGGAGATTATTGTCGTCCTGGAAGTACAGAACCTGATCCTTGTCCAGTAAGAATAACTAAATGTGTCATTTTCTTTATATAGCAGGTACTCCAAACATACATGTAATCATAGAAGGTCAAGTGCACTCCCTCTCTATTGTCTATGTGCAACAAATCTGCCTCGTCCCCCCAGGTGTTATAGGCCTATAACGTGTTTATACGAAATATTCCGGAGGTGTTTACAGGCGAGAAGAGGGCAATGGGATGAATGGAAAGAAATTTAGAGGGCCTGCGTGATCTTGTAAATGTTCTCGCACAATGCACGGTTTCTTGCAAATCGCAGGAATTAGTCAAACAACACTATATAGTATATAGGTTGTTAATTTCAATCCCTTCGTTAATTTCCAGGTAATATATACTTGTTCGCCAAAAACACTAAAAGAGGCTATATATGAATTTACAAGGCGGGCAAATGCCGCAATCTATGAATATATGTCATTAGTATTTTTGCACAAGTGAACATAACAAATCCTACAAGGTGATTGGTCAAATTTTACGTATTAATCTGTTATATTCACCTACACTGTCTAGGTGATATAACAAAATCGAAAATTCGAAATTTTCAAAATGGCGGCTAGCCGTTTTGTTGAAGTTAGTGATAAAGAAATAAGCGAAATTAAAATGAATTCAGACCAGAAAAGCACAAAAAGACTTGTGCAAAAATACTAAAACAATTATTCGCCTCAGGCTCGGTGATTATCGGGGAATATTCACCTCGACTTCGTCTCGGCGAATATTCCCCGATAATCACCGAGCCTGAGGCGAATAATTGTTAAATTATCAAAACAAATGATAACAAGTTGATTATGTCTTTCACTTGCCTTGAAGAAACTTATGCAGGGCCGTAGCAACCGGGGGGGCTGGGGGGCTGCAGCCCCCCCCCCAATAATTTGCTAATAATCATTCTTTTTTCAAAATCATGCAAACTTTATCATTTAATCTGTGACAAACTGCAAAGAATGAAGATATTACTCATACTCCAGATCGTTCCTCGCGTAGAAATTTTAGCTGAATTTCTGTCGCGCATTTTCAAGAAAATCCCACAAAATCTGCACATTTTTGATGAACTAATGATTTATTTTGTCTTTTGCGTGTTGGGTCTTGCGAAAGAAAACTCTAAAAATGCCATTTCAGACCATCTAGAGACTCCAGATTTTCGAAATTTTCTCAAATGTTCTGCCTTCATTTCCGCGCAACTGCCATTTACGACGAAAATTCCCGCCGCGCATTTATAATACTACAGTCTGGCCCATACTTTCCTGTAAATTTCGACATACTAAAACGCTGTTTTCTGACTATCAGAATTCTGTTAAATCTTCCCCCAAATTCCAGGAAATGGCATTTTAGAGACTCTAAATTTAAAAATTTCCTCGGGCCTTCGGCCCTCGCTTTCAGCCCCCCCAATCGAAAAGAGCTTCCTACGGCCCTGTTATGTAAAATATCCTTGCCGATTTGGTCTTTTACTGATTACAGATGATTTGCTCGCTTCGATAATCTTTTGTTGTTTGTTATGACAGCTACAGAATGTAAACGCCATGTCTACTTTATGTAAACATTTTGTTTAGCGCCTTACGTAGGAAGAAACCATACAAACAAACTCGAAAGGTCGATTCGGATCCCAATGTTCATTGCGCTTGCTCAAAGTTCTTCTGCAACTAAATTTCATGAGACCTCAATTGTTTTGCTATTATGGAAGAAAAAATCAAAATGGCCGTTATGGCTTCATTGCTTTGTTTCTCTATTTCAAAATATTGACCAATATTTTGCTAGAGGGCACTCGGAAACTGCGCACCTCTTCCAGCGAATTAAGTAATGTATCATGCATAAATCATACAATGGGCTTATTGCCTGGCAAAGCAACACAGAGGCTTGCTAATTTTCTCATCCAATTTTCAACTATAAATTTGACAAAAATTTATAATCAATTCTCCCTTGGGTAATATCCATTAGAGACACAAATTTTCGAACCATGGTTCGAAAATTTGTGTCCCTAATGGATAGTACCCAAGGGAGATCAATACGTTTGATTTTTAAGTATCACGTTTCATGTTTCAACATGACAGTATCTATGTTTCAACATGACAGTAAACAAAAACATACACCCTTTACCGCTAATCTAGGACGGTTTAATTTTACAATTATATTCATTTTAATTTAGAATAGCTTGATTTTTATGAGCCCAACATGACTTGGCATAGACCTACACAAAACATAACGAAACCATAGATATCTTACATACACTAGATAGTGCATCTAATTATTCTGCAATTCAAAAATTGAAGCCGGATTGCAGTCTCAGGTCGTTCCCATGAAGTGAGAAGATTCGTATGTTTTCCATTTCTTAAACAAGGAACTTAAACATTAAGTTAACCCTATTCCGAATACGTTTTTAAACTATTCAAATGATGAACGTTATTGTTGTTTTTAAGCGTTCATTAGCAAGTGGGAACGACCAACATGGCCGCCATCTATTCAAATGGGGGTAACCGCTGGAATATTCTTGGCTTCAATTTTACTAAAAGAGATGCGCTATCTAGTGTATATATAAGATACCTATGATCGAAACGCAGCAAATGCGCCCAGCCTCCACGTTTCAAGGTTGGACAAAAAGGTGACAACAACAAAAAGGCGGGGTCACCATAACAGCTTAAAACCAATTACTGTGGGCCCTTACAAAAAGGTGACAAAAAAAGGCGACATATAAAGGCGTTTGAAAACCTCCTTGTGGAGGTAACAATATTTTATTTAAATTAATGAACAAAATGTATTATGAGTTGCTGAATAATAGGAAGGCCAGACTTTTGACGAAATTAATTAATAATTATTCATAATTACAAGAATACATAATTCTTGTATCTTCAACTATTATATTGCATATGTCTTCTTTTTAAAGTAATATATTTTCTCCAATTTTTACGCGACTTACGTTTATTATTTGCCCGACTTCATTATGACTGGGGGCAGCTGCCCACCACCCCCTGCCCCCGCCCCGTACGCCTATGCTCGTTTAATAATTTGATGAAAATACAAGGTTTTTCGCATATATACGCCACTCTACTGTATATTTGACATTGCAAAATGATTATCAGCACAACGAAATAATATAAGATCATTTTTTTAAATTTTTGTAGTGGCTGACGAGATGCCACAAGAAAAGTTCTGCTCCAATCACCAACTTTATTGCTCCCTTATTGGATTTTCTCGTGTTATTAATTTTCATTGGTTTGCTTGTTCTTTACCACAATTGGCGCACCGTCAAATTTTACTGCTGTTTATACTTCCACCGATACATCAATACTGGCAGGGAACGCTCTTCGACCAAGACCTTTTCTTTGGACACAGGAATAGCTAATAGTACTGTTAAACTTGGAAACTTAATAGAAACAGATAAAGATATTGAACCAAAGTCATATACAATTGATATTAGCTTTGAAGACCTTGGGCTGGCATTAAAATCGGTAAGTGTTGCTGACATGTAGGGTAATGCGTGGCAAAATGAGACACCTAAGGACATTTATTGTTGGAGAATGGAAGGCATAGCAATTTGAATTTTCTTTTTGACTTGGGTATGTGAGGTTGACTCACAGCAAGATATGTAAAGCAAAAAAATGTTTGAAATAATTTATTTGCGATAAATCGGGGGAAACCTAGCAGTGGAAATTGTCTCATTTTGTCCCGGCACAGTGGGGCAAAATGAGACAGGGCTAAAAAATTAAAAATAAAGTCAATACAATTATAGTTATTTTAATTGAACTTTAGAACTAATTATAAAATACATGTTTCAAATAATTTTGAAGTTCAATGTCACACACACACAGGTCACATTGGCTGCGGTAACAGTACAGCATTCTTCGTGACACCATTGTTTGCATTGTGAACAAGTCATCTAATCCTCGGCAGGCATTGACTTTGACCAACGTTCACCGCAAAGTGATAAATTTTTTAGCCTACCATTGACTAGGCGATTTAATACATCCTTTGGTACCCCGTAGGCATTTGCAGCTTTCGTATTGACAGTTCTTTCTTCTCAACTGCAGAGAAGGCAAGACAGATTTAATCCTCATTCCAGTTGCACGTTGAGTTTTGCGTACATAGTTTCTGACCATCCTAAATAAAATAAAAGTTAGTTTGATTTGTGACATGGACTAAGCTGTTTATAGCATAAAATATATGACATATGAACTTATGATAATTAAATTATAGAATGAAAGTACATATTGATTCAATCAGAAAAACCCTTTTAACTTTCCCAAGCAGGAGAAAGTGGTATAGTGAATGGACAATTCCATATACTTATCATTCTCAACATGCCCATGCCTTAATATTTGAACAGTTCTACTGTATTTCTAGCTATTTTAATTGGCCCAGGCTCAGCTAATTATGAAAAGATCCCTAGACTTCATCAGGTCTAGTCTGTCGAAATATGTTGGTCTGGAAACAAAATAGAAGCCGTTGTGTAGTACGTTTCTGTTATTAGAATGCTGTTTTTAGGGTTAGTAATCTAAGTGAGTATATATATGCACTTTAAGACCTGACCAGGAACGACTGCGAAAAATGCAATACAATTAAGGTCCTCTGGTTCAGCGGTGCAGCGCTCTAACCAATTGAGCTACAGAGGCCAGCTGTTGATGTACTCACTGGATTACTAACCCTAAAAATAGCATTCTAATATTAATCCCACCAAGTGAAGTACAAGAAACAAGATTATTGAAGTCCACCTTATCACAACCCGCACACCCGATCACCTATATATACATGAACTTACGGTTACAGCTCAACAGCTGGCCTCTGTAGCTCAGTTGGTTAGAGCGCTGCATCGGAATCGCAGGGCCGTAGGTTCAATTCCTACCAGAGGACCTTGTGCTGCATTCTTCGCAGTCGTTCCTGGTCAGGTCTTCAAGTGTATATATACTCACTTGGATTACTAACCCTAAAAACAGCATTCTAATATTAATACCACCAAGTGAAGTGAAGAAACGAGATTATTGAAGTCCACCGTTTCTGTTATGTCTGTGTTAATATGCATGCATGTGCACGATCACACTGATTGCATGAGTTCACTGTATTTTCGTGTAATAACGTAATCGCCCAATAGGGATAGCTGAGGTAAAACGTACAACGATGAATAATATTTAATGAAGCTAGGTGAGGCACAGTTTAAAATTAAAGAAAGATCTCCGGGCTTTCGAACCATTATATCTTCACAGACTATGAATCAGGCGATTGCTTATCAATGTTAAACATTTCGTCATTTTAATTGTTCCAGGGAGAAAATAAAGGCAAGATTGTGTTACAAGGAGTAACAGGTCATGTGCGAGCTGGTGAAGTTACGGCTGTCATGGGACCTTCTGGGGCTGGAAAGACTACATTCCTTAACACACTGAGTGGCAAAGCGTACTATGGGGTAAGTTTTAAGTACTATTTAAAACACCGAACAGGCCGGAGTGCTTTATCAGATATAAATGCTTAAAAAATGGCTTAAAAAACGACCCATCTGATAAGTTCATTGTCGAAGTAATTTGACGAATAAACGTTGTCTAAGCCGAAAAAATCAAAGCTATAAAGTTTACGTAAATGCATGAATATGATTTTTTATCACATGCATATAAGACCACCGTGATTATTTTCTCTTTTCCTCCTGAATTCTTATGAGTTTTTAAGTACCATTTACATGTATTATACGGCAAAGCTGTCTATCTGCAAAATGGTTGCTATTTTTTAACCCTTTGTCTACAACCGTACGAATTATGTGCAGTATAAAAGTCATCTTTGGTTTTCCGATCACAAATAGGACGGTGTTAGAAATTTTTATTAAAAAATTCCCAGAATGTTCATAATCCTGAGCGGTCTCTAAAGTCCCGACATGAATTACCACACATATATAATTGAAGAAGAAAATGATTGAAAAATTGAAAAATTGAATATAATGGATAAAGTTAAATCATTATTATTATATAGAGGATATTACACGGTGGCGCGAAGATATGACTTTTATCTTCGAGTGGTGAAAACTAAACACGAGAAGATAAAAGTCATATCTTCAAACCACCGTGCAATGTTCTGTAAGGGTGGGTAATTGACTATACAAAACTTTTGTAGTTCGCTATAACTACAGCTACTTCAAAAATATGTAGTCAGCTACAACTACTCTACTTTTGAACAAAGGTAGTTCACTACTGATTACAGCTACAGCTTAAAAAATGTAGCGAACCATTTCGCTATTTCGCTACTCTATATTTTTTAGTTTTACGGTATTTGGAGCATCCACTAGCTCAGGCTGTAATATCACCTATAACAAATCGACTTACGAGTAGCAACAGTAAACAAAAGGGCCAAAGCAACATTTTTGTAAGCACTACAGTGTTCATGCAGGAGTGTCACTTTTCATTGCGCTAAAATAATCTTTACTCTATAAAATAATCTTTTAAGCAAACCGTGTCTTAATATCATTTTATTCTATGAACGGTTGCTAACAATTTTAAAAAGTAGCGAATAGCGATTCGCTGTTTCAAAAGTAGTCAACTATTTGACTACTTTTTGGCAAAATGTAGTTCGCTATAACTACAACTACTGTTTTAAAAAAGTAGTCAAAAACTACTGGCTACTTGAAAATTGTAGTTCGCTACAGTAGCGAACTACAACTACTTGGCTGCTACACACCCTTGATGTTCTGTTTATTATATAGTTTCAAGCAAAAAATTGCATAATTACTAAAAGTCACGTGATCGATATATTCACTAGTGAAGATATGGAAAATATGTCACTGAGTATTTCTCAGTATCTCACTTTCTACTATATAATAAAAAAACTATATGTCAACTGTTTAAACGCACAACCAGTGAGCTCCATATATAACTGGAGCGGGAACTCGAGTGGAAAACGTGAAGGTGGAAGTATTGGACTTCATTTTCAGTCGCTTTCGATTGTTTTTGCCTGCATGTGCATACTGCAAGGAGGTGCCGCAATTTTGTATTCTGACTTCGATTTAAAGAGAATACTAAGGTTTTCTAAACTGATGACTGTATTAGCAATACGCGCGGTCCGTTTGAAAAAACTGGTATTAGCTGGAGAAAATGGGATTAAAACTCTTTACCACATTCATAGCTATTGATAGATATATTTTATATATATATATATATATATATATATATATATATATATATATATATATATATACAAAATTATACAATGTTCTCCGGATTGTAACAATTTGTTTTGAGCTTTCGACTCGATACTTAGAGCCTTCATCAGAAAGATTGATTATTTGAATTTTCACGCTGTTGTTGACGCTGTTGAAGTCTGTGGGAACGTCATAGCGCACTGTGCACAAAACTCATGCACTCATATTATGGTAACATTTATTAATCCAAACTCATTTTGTTCTATATCAGGATGCCAATGGGAAAATATTGTTTAACAATAACGAAGTAAAAGGAATAAAACAATTCAGATCTATCACTGGATTTGTTCCTCAGGTGTGTATAAATCTCGATATTTTTTCTCATTAATTAACTCTGATAAATGTATTGCAATCAATTATTACACTCAAGAGGTGAAATGGGAGTTCTCCCTCTCCAATGACCCATTGACGACCAGCAGTAAAAATGGCTTGGGTTATGGCTTTTTTTCACATCTCGTTCCAGAATGCGAGAAATACTGTTCAATAGACACACTAGAGTTTTCAGTTCGCAAAGTTTGTCCGTACTACTCCCCAAATGCAAAATGAAATCGTCAATTTACACCATAGGAAGCACGCCTAAGTCTCAGAGATAGTGTCTTCTAAAGTTTCAAGGCTTCAGTAATATAGATCCGTCAGACTTACAATATCCGTTCGTCTTCAAAACAATGATCAGTGTATTAATAAAACTTGAACTAAGGATCACTTTAATTAGAGGTTTAGAATATTGGAGGAGATACTCTATAAGCACTTAGCCCATTTTATGCGTGTTGAAGGCTTTTAGTAAATGGGGAATTCCGAGCGAAAATTATAGACATTATTATTTGTTAGACCTGACCGGGAGCAGCTATGAAAATGCAACCATAGCCTTTCTGGTAGAAATATAATCTGTAGCCTGCATGCCTGAAACCCGGTACATGCAGCATTCAGATCTATCAAGCATGATGCCCAGATCTTGAATATGTGCCTTTCTATATATTTACAATAATTTTATAACTTGATGTTATCTAAATTCTTGGAAACCATAACATTTTTTTCCTCTATAATTCTTTAATTTCCAGGAAGACACAATGCACAGGAATTTAACCGTTCGTGAAGTTCTGTATTACCAAGCAAAGTTACGCTTACCTGCTGGAACCGATACTCGAATCATTAAGGACAAGATAGTCCAGGTAATATATTAATAATGCTTTATGATAGATAGGTATAATTTTTTGTACAATAATTTCCTCATCAAGGATTGTACTTTATTGCAAACTTGAATAATATATTTCGATTCTTTCCTGCACGGGGAGTTACAATAAACTTATATGTAATAATTTCTCGTTGCAATACCTTGACATTGTGTATAAAATTGTTAATAATATAGGAACAAAGTCAATTCATCTATACTTGTAATTCTATATACAAAGCAAACGTTGTTTCAAAAATGGATGGTCAGTGCATTGCAAAATCCTGGATTTTTAAATGCAAAAACTTTTAAATGCAAAAACTTTTAAATGCAAAAACTCTTCTGCAGAGGCTTCGAAAACGCAAAATATTTTAGGTTAGGATGTCCCAAGACTCTTCTCGGTGAAGCTCTCGAAACAACAATTTCAATTTACTTTACAATAACAGTGTTCAATTTACCTTATTTTACAATAACTTTACGGTAACACTGTCATACAACTACTTCGTTATATTTTCATTCGTTCAAAGCGATATATTTAAACCTTTTTTTTGTATTTTAGACACTGAATATTTTAGAAATAGCCCATGTCGCTGATTCCCTCATAGGTGATGAGGTACGTATTTACTCATAGATTGAATATACAAAAAAGTTTGAGACTCACTGTGTTTATACGGATTTTCACGTTCCATGCCGAAAGTTATTTAGTACCACCCGTTTCATAAAGTAGGATCTTAATCAAAGAAACACTAATGTATCAGTCAATTCCAGCAGTGCCCATCTCCCCCCTGGCTACCCCCGGGCCTTCGCAGCTTTCCTAATCCCGGGGATGGGGCTATTGCCGAGATTTTTTAACCTGGGGGTGGGGACATAGACGTTTTCCATCATGGCGTTTGGCGGACTATAACAAGGCAAATTTCGATGGAAAAGATACTGAATTCGTGTGCAAATGGCCTGATACTCACTCTTTGGGATGGTCTTTCTGTACCATTGTCTTTGATCATTGATGAGTAAAATCCTTTGTCTATATGAAATAGTTTTTCTCTTTCAATGGACAAAGATCACTATAAAAAAATGGGCACCTTGACTGATACGTAACGAGGTCAATGTCGTTTTCATGATATTCAGACGACTTGCGTACTGTACTTCTGTGCGTATTATTATTATTATTATTATTATTAGAAAATTTGCACAAATATAATAGCAATTAAAAGCTAAATTGTTATGTACATTACAAGAAATAAGATTATGTTAAGAGTATAAAACGTATAATAGGAGCATAAAATAGATCTATAAAGGTATAAAGCTAAAAATACCCAAACAATGTTTCATTGTACTTGCTAACAGCATAGCTGATGCTACAGTTACCAGAAAATGTACTGTAACAGTGAAAATAAAATTTCAATAAACGTAGAAGCACAAGCATTTCCTGGAAACACATTTCAAGATTCCCCCCATATGATTCAACCTATACGTCTGCATGTGCTACACGGAAATTTTATGCTTTGATCACAAACAATGAACGGTGATCTAGCCCAAAAGGCGCAGAGCTGGCTTAAAACATCGCAGTAAGAAATGTTGGTTATGGTACCACTTCTTCTTCTAAGATTGTTGTGCGCCCCATCTGGCCCATCATCATCCAAAATATTTTATTGTTTGTGGTTTGACGTACAGGAAACACGAGGTATCTCTGGTGGACAACGTAAAAGAGTAAACATTGGAATGGAGTTAATTGCAGATCCAACATTGTTGTTCCTTGATGAACCAACAAGGTTTGAATTATATATATTTCAAATCCAAAAATAAATACTACATGCATTGGATGTGAAGTCTGAGTAGTAGTCTAGTCCCAAAATATTATCTCATTTTTTAAAATACTGTTTTACACGCTAGATCTCATGGTTCGCACTAGGACGGATTGTTTGAGTTTAGTTCCTTGTAGTTTTAATTGCATGGCGAATAATAATATCAGTTTTCCGCTATGAAACATCCATTCTGGCGATTGATAGACATAAGTTCCCGCGCAAAATGAGAGCGTCGATTATTTGATAATATAAGCACAATGCTATAGATAAAGTGGAAAACTACTGAACAGTACGTGGTATGGCATGCTCTTTTTACTGTGCAAAATTAATTTCTCTTGTCACGCGCACGTGTTAATCAGATCATATATCACCGTCTACGGTTGGCATGACGAGACTCGTATGGCTGTTTAATTAACTATCAAGTGACGTGAGCAAACAGTCACGATCGCTTTTGGCATAGAATGGTGACCACACAGAAGTTCGACTTATTGGCAGATCTAAAAGTCCGAACTACGATTTTAACATAACCGTTCCAATGCCGTTGCCATGTTCCGTAAACTAAAACTGATATGATTTGTCACCATTTTTTTTTGTAGTACCCACATGCAGGATGATATGAGCTAAATAGAGATTACTTCATGGTTGGCGAGCGCGTACGGTTTTTATTCACGAGTGAATTATTACAGGCGAACGAGTGAGCGCAGCGAACGAGTGAGCCTGTAATAATTAACGAGTGAATAAAAACCGTACCCGCGATCCAACCATGATGTTATTTGTTTATATTATAAGTATTGAGATTTCACTCAAGAAAATGCATATTTTAAAATGATTAATAATAGTAGATTATTAACAGCATTTGCGGTTGCATAAATTAACTTTTTATTTTCAGAACACAACAACACAACTTGATTGTAAGAATTTCAATGCGAAGAAAATATTAAATTAACACGTATTTTAAAAATACTTCAAAGGCTATAAATGTTTATAAAAATGTCTAAAACTCATCGTCACTGTCCTCTAAAGGTTTAAGTCTCTTCCATTTTGACAACGCTTCATCTTTGGCGGAATTTTGGCTTGGTTCTTGTTCCAATGTGAGCTTGGGCGACTGGTTTACTGTGTTTATGTTAATGGAAAAATTGCCGCCTTTAATGACAGCTCCGCTGAATAAAGCCATAGCTTGTTGTGCTTCGGAGATGGGCGAGCAAGTTGGTGGTGAATTTACTGTTTTATCAGACGATGTCTTTGCTGCACTACCAGATGTATAGCCACTGAGAACTTTGGACATTTGCATTTCCTGTTTGCTCGACACTTTGCTGTAGCTTTCTAAGCTTTTTAAATTCTTGTGCCCTGACAGTTGAGCGATATGTGTCGGGGGAATATCATTTTCGCTAAGTGTTTGAATCATTGTTTTTCTCCCGCTGTGATTTCGCAGTCGTTCGTTGTTGATTCCTGCTTTTTGAGCCATTGTCTTCATCAGACTGTTCAGTTTGTTTATTCCAACAGCAGCGGCCTTGAACCACTCTTTCGTTTGAAGCGACTCTTTCTTTAATGTGTTGTTCACAGCTAGGTAGAAAGGGGAATCATCCTCGTTCATTTTTCCTGGTCTCTTCCGCTCGTAAAGTTTGTAGACCACGACAGGATCTCTTTCCGACCCATCAGTAGCAAACATTTTAGGCGCCATTTTTCTGACATCACGGCAATCTGAACCGGTTCTTGTTTTGGTTTGTCTTTCATTAAATTCTAAAAATTCCTCACCGTCTGCTGTTTGCTTCAACTTAACATCGCCCCCAACACATGTCTCTGTGTTCTTTGCAACCTCTGAGTCCAAAATGCATAGTGTTATTCAACCAGAGTGTGTTTAAAAGCGACTCAGGACTTCGTGTACCGATAAGGTCTTTTTCATACAACGTATTTAGTTCCGAAGTAGTTAAAGCCACAGAAGCGTTTGGTTTATTTCCTTTTCCTTGTTTTTTTAATTGTTTTTGCTTGGACTCGAGAGTTTTTCTTGTCTTTTCGAATGCCAAGTCATTGATAATACTAGCAGGGTAGTTTTTCCTCTTAATATGCCGCTCGAAACTTGCCAGTAAACTCCGAAGAGAAGATGGCTCGTATTCTTTTCCGTTTTTGGTTCTGACCGAAATTATAAAGTCAGACATGTATTCGTTTAGTTCTCCTATCGGGATATCTTCAATGTTTCTTTCTTCGTTCTTGTTCACCAAAAATAGTTGTAATAATTTAACATCACGCTGTGTCTTTTGCGCCGTGCTCTTGTTCTCCTGTTCCAAAATAAAGTCGTCAACAGAACCGGCGTCAACAAATCGCGAAGCCATTTTGTTGTTTTAAATAATTAAATTCGCAATTCCGCGCCAAATGAAAAATGACGTATTTTCCCGTACGATCATTTCTCACTAGTGAAAAACCATCGTTCGCCCAATCAACAACGGCGAACGATGATTTTTCACTAGTGAGATTTCATCGTTCTCGTTGCTGATTGGCTGTTGCTAATTTGGAACGATTATTACGCACTGCGATTTCGATGAGTAAATCTCAATACTTATATAATAAATTCGTGTTCGTGATGAATTGTTTTGTACGGTTTTATCGAAACTGTATATAATAAGTAACTTATCATATATTCTGTTTCAGTGGTCTGGACAGTACATCAAGTTTATCTGTGTTGAAGTCCTTAAGAGCTGTGGCAGAACAAGGGAGATTGACTGTCCTGTGCGTTATTCATCAACCGCGTTTCGAAATATTCAGTAAGTGAGAATGCTTTGTCGGGGGATGAGATAGAATTTGGAACTCGCCTGTTGCCTTTAGAATTTTTGTTTACCTCTCATGAATGAGCAATTTGGAATTTTTGGCGTAGAATTAAAATGGTTTGAGTCATATTTAACAAATAGAGAACAGCAATGTAATGTTAATGGAGAATTATCTAGTAATAAAATTATCACCTGTGGAGTGCCCCAGGGATCTATACTGGGACCACTGCTATTCCTATTATATATTAATGATTTGCCCGATTGTTTGAAATCAACTAATCCATGCATGTACGCGGATGATACTCAAATCTTTTCATCTTCCTACGATGCAAACGAACTTGTTGTAAATTTAAATTCAGATCTTGCCCATGTCTGTAACTGGCTTAAAGAAAATAGGCTGCAGATGCATCCATCAAAATGTAAAATGATGTTTATTGGCTCCCCGTATAATCTTAATAATATAATGTGTGAGGAACCCGTTGTGGCTAATGCAATTAACCCATATCACGTATTGCTACACAAATGTGCCTAGGAGTAAAACTAGATGAAACCCTTAATTGGGATAGTCACATTGAAATGATATGCAAGAAGGCGAGCGCTGCTGTTGGCGCTATGAAACGTATAAAGCCCATTGTTCCAATGCATACCTTAGAATCGATTTATAAAAGTCTTGTGCAGCCCTACTTTGATTATTGTTCCACCCTTTGGGACACTTGTGGTAAGTTGCTAAGAGACAAGTTGCAAGGATTTCAGTCTCGTGCAGCAAGAGTCCTAACGGGTGCTAATTATGATACTCGCTCAGCTGATCTTCTCAACATGCTTTCTTGGGATACACTTGAAAATAGGTGGTCTGGTGCCAAGTCAGTATTAATGTATAAAATACTTAACGACCACACTGCGCCAGGTCTCCGGGGGTCATTCGTGAGAAGAGAAATAGATCAAACTAATTATCATCTTCGAAATACAGCAACTGATCTAACAATTCCTAAACCGAAACGAGAATTTCTTAAAAGAAGTTTTAAATATAGCGGCGCTATGCTCTGGAATCAACTCCCAAACGAAGCAAAATTGGCCGAGTCGCCTCATTCGTTTAAATCAATTGTTGGACAGCGACATGCTTCCTAATTATTTGTATATAGTAACGTGTACAGTATGTGTGTACTAATATTTAGTTTAAATTTTCCTTTTAACGATTTTTAAGATCTAAACACGCCCCCCATGGAAACCAGCCTAGAGTTGATGGGGCTAGCGTGTTCTTCTTTCTGTTAATTTTAAATAAAGTATTACCTACCTACCTACCTACCTCAATGAATTATTTTCAAAACACGAGGAATACGGAATATTCAGATTTAACAATTTAATATGGATTTCAGGATGCAGTTTTCCAACGTCAATTTTTGCGTGTTTTGCGGATATCAAATGTTTTAGGGAATTTATAACTTGGAATGTGGAATTCCTAAAATTATAAAATATTTGATTTCCAAATTGTTTCCAGTGAAATTTGGATAAGATTAAGATTAAACATTTCTACAGGGCGCGTGTATAAAAAAAAAACTGAACCCTTTCAAATTCAAATTAGCTATAACGTATTGTAGTAATTTGACAGCTCTAATTGCTTTTGAATTAATGGTTGGGTAAGAACACAAGGTCTTGTACTCATGGGACAAAACTCTTAAAAACTTTTAAATTTTCCGTAATTGTAATTTTCTTCGAGTTTCGTCCCATGAGTACAAGACCTTGTGTTCTTACCCAACCATTAATTCAAAGCAATTAGAGCTGTCAAATTACTACAGGGTGTCCCAAAAAACCCGAAAACTATTGAAATCACTTATTGTTAAATTTGAACGCCCTACCAAACAGCAGGACGTAATGATGCGTAAAATATTGACAAGGTGCATGTATTAGAATTTAGTTAGGAATATCTCCTGGTAAAGTGCGCGATTTTCTGCTCCTGGGAATTAAAAACAGCCGTTCTTAAACAGTTTCTTTATGCATAAATTTACTTATGTCAACATTTATGCACTCGTGGGAACCAACAGAGCGCTACAGCATTCAAATTCTAACAATTAAATTGTTATTGGTGATTTCAATAGTTTTCGGGTTTTTTGGGACACCCTGTACAATACGTTATAGCTAATTTGAATTTGAAAGGGTTCAGTTTTTTTTATACACACTGTACAGGGTGTCCCAAAAAACCCGAAAACTATTGAAATCACTTATTGTTAAATTTGAATGCCCTACCAAACTTATGTCAACATTTATGCACTCGTGGGAACCAACAGAGCGCTACAGCATTCAAATTCTAACAATTAAATTGTTATTGGTGATTTCAATAGTTTTCGGGTTTTTTGGGACACCCTGTACAATACGTTATAGCTAATTTGAATTTGAAAGGGTTCAGTTTTTTTTATACACACTGTACAGGGTGTCCCAAAAAACCCGAAAACTATTGAAATCACTTATTGTTAAATTTGAATGCCCTACCAAACAGGTGGACGTAATGATGCGTAAAATATTGACAAGGTGCATGTATTAGAATTTAGTTAGGAATATCTCCTGGTAAAGTGCGCGATTTTCTGCTCCTGGGAATTAAAAACAGCTTCTTAAACAGTTTCTTTATGCATAAAATTTACTTATGTCAATAATTTATGCACTCGTGGGACCAACAGAGCGCTAAGGCATTCAAATCAGGGTTGCCAGATTGCTGAATAAATAAGCCAAATATTATTATCATAACCTTTGTTTTCTTTGTTCGAAACAAAGACATCAAAGGGCCGTTTATAACAATGTTTGGCTTATTTATTCAGTAATCTGGCAACCCTGATTCAAATTCTAACAATTAAATTGTTATTGGTGATTTCAATAGTTTTCGGGTTTTTTGGGACACCCTGTATAGCGTAAATTTACATATGGATATGATCATGCTAATGCGCTTTATATCAAGTATATACGCGCCAGCTTAATTACATACTTAACCCAGACTATTTTATCTCTACAACAATTGCGATATTATATACCTCTTAACTGTGTTTATCCTAAACCACCCTGTCACTTCACCTGTGGAAGGAAACCGGAGCACTCTGAGAATACCCAAGATTTTCGGCAGAGCGTTGATTGACTCTATTCACATGATCACTAGCCGGTCTATAGCGAAAATCGAACGCATGATCTCAGAAATAAAAGGCGCTTGCTCTGCGACTGCGCCAGCGCGCCACAGAAGCCCCATAAAACATGGACGAGTGAGTTTTTCAAATTGCATCAAAATAACACGAGTACGAAGGACGAGTGCTATTTGAGGTCTTTGAAGAAGATAACAAAAAAGTTTTATTATCATTCTTATGTTATTGCATACTCGAAAATCGGATTTATCAAACTAATGTTTTGTTAAATTAAATGTTTGGTTTCTAAAATAACACTCATACACACCATTGAAGAAACCAATTGCAGCTGCTAAACTAACTTTTACCGCCATCATAATCATTATCATGCACTCTCGTTATATTAATTAACCCAAATTCCATCGTGTTTGTGTAGATATGTTCCACAACATCTTACTCCTTGGTCCTGGTGGTAAGACAGTTTATCAAGGAAATGTATTGGATGCTGCTAAGTATTTCTCATCTCTTGGCTTCAATACTCCTGCTAATGTCAACCCAGCTGACTTCTACATGGATGTCATTGGAGGTTCAGTCAAGACAGAAGAAGATGAAGAAGTAGATTTATTTGAAGCTTGGAACAAAAGATCTGATGTTGAAGAAGGAAATAGCTCAGTGGAGAAGCAGGCTTGTTGTGGACCAGAAGGTAGGATCTGTTTTACTATATTTTACTAAACTATACCTCTATATAACAATTAGTATATATATAAATGTTTCGTGGAAGTCTTTAAAATTTTGCATAAAAATGATGAGGATCTGCCAATGTTGATTAATCTTTGTCGTAGTTTATTGTCTATTAATATTTATTAACTTTACAAATATCATAAATGAAGTCAAATACTATAAGGTTGAAGGTACTATGGTCAACACGACAGAAATCCCATATTAAGACCGACCAAACAAAGACACTAACCATAATAATTACTAACTTACTATTCCTATGACGACGCATGCAAACTCACATTTAACAAACTGATACAATTGAACAAATGCTAACATAAAACGTGCATGAACACAACCCTCATGAGCAACAACTTGCGTTGTAAGAACGACACGGTCAACAATATACGTCTTCCACGCGTAAGTTAAAGGTGCAGTTATTGACATCAGCGCCAGCATAGGCTAATATTGTATATTAATCCTGTCCACATGTATATACTGTAAGGCTATACTGCTCCTATGTGACCAAATGCCAATTAGTAAATGATGTTTAAATGTTGTCACTTGATTTGGAATTGAATCTTTCCACCACGCACCATTTTAATATTGTCCTTTCGGAAGAACATGCAGTTTCTCAGACAGACAGACAGACAGACAGACAGACAGACAGACAGACAGACAGACAGACAGACAGACAGACAGACAGACAGACAGACAGACAGACAGACAGACGGGCAGGGTCCGTTTCCCGTTGGGGAAGTTCAGATACTTTTCTGAGCCAGCTCAGGTAATGATCCCAGTATTGCTTGCCTCTGTTCAGCATGTTACGGCGTACATCAATATCTCTTTTGTATTATAATCAGTACACAAGATTAATTATAATGCTAGCAGTTACAACTTACAACCAATACAAAACAATGGTCGCTCCGAAAACAGTAAACATCTTAAATGAGCGATTTTCAAAGTGACTATTGTTTTGTATTTCATTTGATATATATACTCAGTGGTTTCCACAATTTATAGTTACAACTAATGCCTTTACTATACGGTTTTGTTTCACCGTTTTGAAGATGTATAATAAATATGGATCTCCAGCATCCATAGAAGAACACTTTCTATAATTCTATGCTACTCCATAACACTGTCCATGCTATATTATAGATAATGTACTTCATGCTTTTTTCAATTTTATCCCAACTGACTTTTAAAATTTAAAACACATATTTATTCTTTTATTTTTTGTAGAGACACGTGTTCTACCTAACCCGCTATATCAATTCTTAACGTTCACTAAACGAGAATTTCTGCTTCAACTGCGTCTGGTAAAAACTTTACTTATCGACGTTTTCCTAGTATTCTTTGCTGGAGGAGTTCTTGGAGCCTTGTACCTTGAGGTATAGAGTTATCCGAGCTTGGTCATTTTTCATTATCGGCAATATTTTTTTGTTACGATTTTTATTGCCATATTCATGAGTGGCGCCTGAAGCAACGTGAAGCGGCAGGGTCAGCCATCTAAAAAGGACACCTGCTTAGCTTCTCATGAACCTTGTGGGAGGCAATGTTCGTTAAAATTTTGCTGCAGCCAATATAATTAGACAAATTTCGTCATTGATCGGACCATTTTTAATCATTCATTTTGTTATATGACGTTAAAAACTAAAATGGATTGTGGGACAACATGATTTTTTCTCAAAGGTGGAGAGAGAGGAACTTCAGACTCAAATTTCAACTATAAATTGCTTGAAAACAATTATCAATTTCAATTTTTGTGAATAACGCACGACTTTCGAAATACAGTTCTTGCCAGAAAGGCAACCCGGCCTACTTCCCCGTTCTTCCACGCGCTGTTTGGGCAACTGGCGCTGCTGCCCCCACTGTTCACGTGGTTCCGGCAGCTCTGGTCATACTGCATACGGTGTAACTCTTTGACTAGCTATATCCCAACGAAATTCCGAAGAGATTGGGACATTTTACGATAATAAGGTAATGTTCTCATTTGGCAATAATACCCATGCACCGACTGGTTACCAGATCATTCAAATATTTCTCGAATGTGATATTATCATTAACATTCGTATCTTTATATAATTGCGAAAAAGGTCAATATACCATAACTCATTTCCATAGCTATCGTGAGCTAAATTGAAACCAAACGAAAGTAGTGTACTATCAAAGACTAAATTTCGTTCGCTTATCCATGTTTACACTCGCAATTGTTCATTGATATAGGTGAGCTTGGAAAAATTTACAGCCCTTACCCGTATGAGCGGAATGGCTATCGGTCTCACGGCAATGTTGGCTTCTTTGAGATGTTTTGGAAACCATAGAACTACATTTTGGAGGTAAATTTAATGTTCGAAACATAAGCTATATAAGTGCATGCCCTGCAGGCATGTAACAGAATTCATTGTAACCTTATCGGTTAAAATAATTTAAGAAGGTTATATAAAAAATATTCTTTGTTTCAAAAACGTCCAATATAACTGGTAATTATAATACAATATTCGATTATATTAACATAAGAAAGGGCTGCCTTTAGTCGGAATTAAAGGTTATTTTAATACTGGTTTATTGGCTCATTGTAAATTGGTTTGTAATTATTTTTGTTTAACAAATAAGATTATTAGGCCGTTTGCCGTGACCCGATATCGTTCACTTTCATTAAGCATGTCGTGGAACTGAAATATTTTCACGGTAACTAACATTTTAGAACACGCTGAATTCAAATCCGAAAAGTTGCCGCTCCATAGACCCGCAGTTTTTTCACAAATTGCATTTGTATTTTCAGTTCTTCGACGAACAAAAATAAACACGCGCCATTTTGAAATTAAATAACATCACTCAGAGTATGCCGTTTAACTCGTTTTTGCTCCCCAGTCTCCGATGCTCATGACCGAGTTAAGATTTAGAGCAATGTTATTAAACTTGCTGCAAAACAAACACAGTCACGTGGTTTTAAAAATGGCTTGTCAGAGTGATTTTCAGTTTATTTGCCAGTAAAATCGCTAAAGAATGAGAAATAAAAGTTTAAATTATGTATTTGGCAGAGAAAAGCGATAAGGTAGGTGTTCTCTGTGTATATTTTTTGAGTTTGTTTAAGGCCAATAGAAGAACAAACAAGTGATTAAGTGAACAACCATCACAATTTATTCTGGTTTTTAACAGCTCTCAGACACATATATAAGGAAAGGATTAATTAACGCCAGTCTGCTTGAAAACTCACAGTAAAATTGTTCCATATCAAGTTTGCTGTTTATGGGAATTATTGTTGGTCATAAGGTGTAAAGTAAATCATAGAAACTGTTATAGTGTTATTCAAATATTGATTTATCACCCCATGCCTATGAAATGTCAAGAAGGCCAACAGAACCATGAACATTTGCATACTGTAGTATAAATGATTATTATATCTGCATAACCTGCTGCTGACTTAATTATTCCATGCTTTATAGCATCTTCAAGATTTAGACTGTGCTAGAATATACAGTATACACACAAGAATATATAATAGGATATACAAATAAGATTCTGCATGAATAGATTGGGTCTAAAGTTGTATTAAATGTTTTTTATTTGTATGTGGCTTTCCCCATTCAGGGCAGAGTACACAAATCTGAGCGCAGCCTGTCATTGATCACATTTAGCTCAACTGCATAGTAGAGCACCAGGTTAGTGACCTGTGTGTTTAACCTATTGCATGAGCACCAGCACTTTTCCACTTGACAAGTAAAATTGTCTGGCATTAGACAGAGTAGACTAATAAAGTAGGGTGCATTGGGGAGCAATGTAACTACTTTAAAGGGTTAAAATCCAAGCACGGCTGCCTGGCCAGGACTCATGTATTTTTCCTTATTTCTAACAGGTTATAAAACAAAACAAACAGCTTGTTTACTGTCAAGCTGGAAAAAACCAGCATAACAACATATAAAGTATCACTTTGTCAAATTGGGCAACAAGTATTACTATTCACATACACATGTTGGCATCTTCATCTCCCCCATCAGTCACAGAGCTTTCGCCTAACCGATCTAGAAGCTTTTCAACAGTTAAAAAATGCTGTTTCGCACATATATTTGGGCAAGGCAGGTATTTGTATTTTTTTTTTCCAGGATTGTAGGTGGATATTCTAATTCAGGGGCTGCTTATATGAGCAGCTACTGTAGATCTCAAAACCAGGCAGCCAAACATGTTTCCTTGTAATTGACGGAATTAATACAAGTTTAGACCCAATCTATTCATGCAGAATCTTATTTGTATATCCTTATTATATATTCTTGTGTGTATACTGTATATTCTAGCACAGTCTAAATCTTGAAGATGCAATAAGGCATGGAATAAATAAGTCAGCAGCAGGTTATGCAGATATAATAATCATTTATACTATGCAAATGTTCATGGTTTTGTTGGCCTTCCTGACATTTCATGGGGTGATAAATCAATATTTGAATAACAGTTTGTTTTGCAGCAAGTTTAATAACATTGCTCTAAATCTTAACTCGGTCATGAGCATCGGAGACTGGGGAGCAAAAACGACATACTCTGAATGATGTTATTTAATTTCAAAATGGCGCGTGTTTATATTTTTGTTCGTCGAAGAACTGAAAATACAAATGCAATTTGTGAAAAAACTGCGGGTCTACGGAGCGGCAACTTTTCGGATTTGAATTCAGCGTGTTCTAAAATGTTAGTTACCGTGAAAATATTTCAGTTCCACGACATGCTTAATGAAAATCGTTTTCTAGGCATATTTTTAGGTCACGGCAAACGGCCTATATGTTGTGATTAGCCATCTGAGTTTTACTTAGTTACTTTCGTTTTACATTATTACATCTTCTGATTGATTGGTTGGCATGTATTACGTTGTGTGAAAGTTACTCATTTTTTAATTGAGCTACGTATTCTGTATATACTATGTTCACGTTCTTGTAATTACTTTAAGAATACGTTGAGATAAACAATAAACGTTACTAATCTATAATTAGTAATTGCGTATACCTTTCGTTCATTTTCAGAGAAAGCGCTGCTGGTGTGAACCGCGTTAGTTACTTTCTGGCAGTAAATTTTGCACAAATGCCAATCTTAGTACTGATGCCCTTGGTTTATCTCAGTCTTCTCTATACGTTGACCTCACCAAGATGTAAGTGCACTATTAGACAAACAATAGAGAGGTTACTTCACTGTTAGGATACCCCGGTTCCGTTTACGCGGGTACCAGTATCGCCATTTTGTTGACCAATTTTTGCTGATGTCAGCATGTTTATCCGTACTTTCTACCCGTTTCCCCGCGGTATTAGAGAGTTTTAGATTGACATTTACGGCAAACGTCAAACCGCTAACGAAGTTTTTGATTTTAAAACTCTATTATAACAGCTTTTACACCAGTTACGCCGTAAACGTCAATCTAAAACTCAATATTACCATGGTCTAAATGTAAAAGACAAACGGGTACGGGTGTTTACTGTTTGTGGGCCGTTTAAAATAGTAAAATACTTCAACATCTTACCTAAATAAATCAATGCACATAATATTATGCTCGTCAAGTTTTCCCAAATGTATGTGGTGAACCTCAACACCAAATGCTAGCATTCTCCGATCGGTTTTCATACCACAGAATATCTTGGATTTCTTAAGTTGCAAGTTGTGCCTGGTTTACGGAGTACGGGTACATGCGTGTTTATAATATAGCATTTGTAAATTCTGAACGCTGATTGGCTAAGAGCCGTGTTGATATAACTCAATGTCAACACGGGAAATTTTCCGCCGCTTGTAAACACGGAAATTTTGCTTATCCTTCGGGCTTTTGACATTGCTATATTATAAAAAAAAATAAAACATTTTTTCCGTATTGATATATAGTTATATCAACACTCGTGGAAGTTGGGAAAACTCGAAATTTTATGAAAACACTCCGCCCTTCGGGTGTCGTGTTTCCATACAATTTCTCGTTTTCCCAATTCCACTCGTGTTGATATAACTGTATATAAACACGGAAAATGTTTTATATTTGTTAAATATCACCCATATCCGTAAAACGGAGCCGCCGGGTATCTTGACCTCTCTAATAATCTTTATGATTGCGATGCTAAAATGCTTTCATCTGGTGAAAGAGAGCCGACAGCCGAATGGAATGGAAAATTCCATCTTTCACCGAATGAAAATATTTTTATTGCTGCACCGATGAAAAGTTTTAACATTGAGTTTCATTAATTTGTTCTATATAACACCAAAATAAATCAATATTATCTTTTTTTATTGAATTAAAGACAAAACAAATACATATCTGTGTTATGATCATATCATGTGCAAACAGATATGTCTAAAATTAATAGAAATTCAATAAATGTGTCCCAAAAAGTGTTTGAGTGAAGAGTTGATGTAATAATGGTATTATTCATTTAACTCAAAAATTTGATTTTACACGATTAAGCTTTCGACGAATGGAATTTAATGGAACAGAACGTATAGTACAAAAATGCAAGGCTGCATGGGCGGTGCAATGCATGGAACGTGTTAATTCCGTTGGATGCTAAGCAAAATGGTAATTTTTATTCCATATCACGCGATCAGCCAAATATATGACCAGAATGACCACAAATGTTTACATGTGAAGTGATACGTGACATTTCCAAGTGGCGATTTCTGGCAGTAGGAAAGATGGCAAGCCTGCAAAAGCGGTATTTTGAACAGTTTAAACGTGCTTATCAGTATAAATAAAAAGGAAAGATTCTCATAACGGAGATGCACATTTATTAGATTACAATATATAGATCCCAACGATTTCTCCCCCTTTTCAACGTGAATGACCACTTTGGGCAGTTCAATTTACGTGTAAGAACTTGACTTAAACGTTGTCAGGGGTTAAACACAACATAACATTTCCAATTATTCTGTCTTTATAATTTAGCATATTTCTCCGCGCATTATGCCGCAGTGTTTTGTGCTCAGCTATGCTGTTCTGGTATTGGTTACGCCATTTCCACGATCTTTAATCCCAAAAGTTCACAGATGGCGTCCGTTGTTGTAGTTCTGATTATGGCCATGTTATCAGGTGAGTATCTGCGAACGATATATATATATATATATTATATATATATTATATATTATATATATATATATATATATATATATATATATATATATATATATATATATATATATATATATATATATATATATATATATATATATATATATATATATATATTATTAGTTGTGTAATTGTACACTCTGTGATATGTTAAGATGAAAATGTTCTAGAGTGTGTATTATTTAACAAATATAAAACATTTTCCGTGTTGATATACAGTTATATCAACACGAGTGGAAATTGGGAAAACGAGAAATTGTGTGGAAACACGACGCCCGAAGGGCGGAGTGTTTTCACACAATTTCGAGTTTTCCCAACTTCCACGAGTGTTGATATAACTATATATCAATACGGAAAAAATGTTTTATATTTGTTTTATAATATAGCAATGTCAAAAGCCCGACGAATAGGAACAATTTCCGTGTTACAAGCGGCGGAAAATTTCCCGTGTTGACATGGAGTTATATCAACACGGCTCTTAGCCAATCAGCGTTCAGAATTTACAAATGCTATATTATAAATAATTTCCATACCCAGCGCAAGCAGAAAGATGTTGTCTGCCGCGGCTGGGTCTCGAACCCGCGACCTTCGAATCGCGGGTTCGATTTGCGGGTTCGAATCGCGGGTTCGAATCGCGGGTTCGATTCGCGGGTTCGAGACCCAGCCGCGGCAGACAACATCTTTCTGCTTGCGCTGGGTATGAAATTATATAATACACACTCTAGAACATTTTCATCTTAATATATATATATATATATATATATATATATATATATATATATATATATATATATATATATATATATCGCCTGTATTCATAAAGCTCACTCACATTCACACTTGAGTGTTACTCGAATGAGATGCATTTTTGAACAGATTTGAAATTGCTCTCAATTTCGCAAAACACCTATTTGTATCCGGTTTTTTATATATATAGCTTCTTTGGGTACTTATAATGTAGAATAATTAAAAAAATTACTCAAACCCAAATTTTGTGAACCAGGAGGGGGTGGGGGGTGGGGGGGGGTGTCTTTTCCAACAAACTAAAAATGGCTCGCGCACAAAATTTAAAAGCTGTAATCACATTTTGAGATAATAGATGGAAAATTTGTCGGGTTTTTAATTACTGTACAAAATTTCAGACAATTTGGTTTAGTTTAAGCCCCTTTAACTATTCATCTTGTTCTAAACAGTCAGCCTTTCGCATGCTTAATTAATGCCTTTACCTAATTTGCATATTGCTGACATATGCAAATTAGGCAAATGCATTAATTAAGCATGCAAATAGCTAATTTTTAGGAAAAATATAACTTTGCGTGAATAGTTAAGGGGCTTAAACTAAACCAAATTATCTGAAATTTTGTACAGTAATTAAAAACCCGACAAATTTCCCGTCTGTGAACTCAAAATATGATTGCAGGTTTTAAATTTTGTGCGCGAGCCATTTTTAATTTGTTGGAAAAGACACACACCCCTGCTTCACAAAATTTGAGTTCGAGAAATTTTTCTCATTATTCTACATTATAAGTACCCAAAGAGGCCATATATACAAAAAACGGATACAAATAGGTGTTTTGCGAAATTGAGAGCAATTTTAAATCTGTTCAGTTTTTTTTATACACCCTGTATGGGCATAGGCATAGGTTAAAGGACGCAAGATAACATTCGTCGGGTTGCGTTTTAGTTACGGTTGAGACGACCTTTCATTTTCTTATTTTTTTCTAGGCGCTTCTCCAACACTGTGTAAACTTGATGATTTGGAATTCTTTGGGCCAGTTGGATATAGCATTTCCTACATCCGTTGGTTTGTCGAAGCTCTGTTTGAGAAAGAAGCGTTACGTTATCCAGAAGTTGATCGTCCAATACGAGATGCCATTGCGTTTCAAGACCACTACCCGTTAGATGGAAACTATTCTTTCTGTTTAGGAATAATCGTTATCATGGCTGTAGTGTTTCGTTCCTTCGCTTTATGTTTCTTGCTTTTCACTAACCGTGGAAAGCAACAGTAGTGGGTTATAAGCATAGATATCTTATATACACCAGATAGTGCATCTAATTATTCTGCAATTCAAAAATTGAAGCCGTGATTGCAGACTCAGGATATTCCCAAGAAATGAGAAGACTCGTATGTTTTCTATTTCTTAAAGCCATGATCACTTCGGGTTCTATTGTTCTGAGAGGGCATTGAAATCTCTAAATTCCTCTGAGCGGGCAATTTACTAATTCGCCCGCTCGACCGGGCGATTTAGTAAATTGCCTGCATTTGTATGAATTGGCCGAACATCCAAACAATACTTTCATACACAACAATAAAGATACTTTTTTATGTACTGTTAATCATTACACACTTACCTTTGGATTCTTATTTATAGGAATTTTAAACCATAGAAACTAACTATGGTATACTCGATGATCAATATATATTATACTATTTATAAGTAATATAATACCATGATATAGGAGAAATTAGTGATTAAATGTCCCCGAAAGCAGAGGGAGGTTTGTGGAATCAAAAATTAAAAATCAAACGTTTTAGTCAAAACCAAGTCGTATATATAATACTCATTAGTTTTAAGCGCGTGTTACATAATATACATAGGCTAGCATACAAAAAATATTTCCTCTTAAGTTTTAGTACAAAACTCAGAAAACCCAAGCACGGCATTCTCTGCTCATGAACACTTTTAGCATAGCTATACTACTTCGTTCGATTACACGATGTATCTTTTTCTTATATACTAATCTTGTAACAACAGTATATATACTTGATTATATTGGATCAAAGAAAACACATAATTGTTGTTATTAAGGATAATTGACAGAGAGGACACCAGAATATATACGTTTTTATTGATGAATATATACTTGTTTTTTACAGCTGTTAGTTACGATTTAATTCGTGTGTGTTTAATTTATTAATTTAATTTAGTGTGTGATTTAATACAGGGAAGACCAGAGCAACTTATTTTTATTGTTTCAAAATTATTGTATAGCGGCGACTTGGATAAATCATATTAGCAAGCTTGAAACATGCAGAAGGGCTCTGAAGAGCATAAAATGGGGACTGGAACTTGCCTATTTTGCATATTTTGGTTATTGCATGGAAATTCGAATGACAGACACAAAATGCATATTCAAATTTCAAATTTCAACCTGCGAACGGGCATACTCATTACGGGTTGTATGGCCTGCGGAGGAGGTAGCTTTAATGGATCTTAGCGACGTTCGGTCAATTAACGTAATTATTCAAAACTGCATGATGCTTTTATAACTGGTTCACATTTTTGGAAGGCGTTGTCGATCATTCTCAACATCTACATTTAGGATTGGCAAGAAGACAATTTTCAGGTGATAATGCGCACTTAATGCTCCATTACTTATAGTCTTATACCTACATCATTTTTCGGGCTTTCCTGCCGCGTTTGTTTTTGGACTTTTTTCGAGGCTTTTGGCGAGTTTTGTTTTGTATCTGGATAGAATAGAATAGAATAGAAACTTTATTTCACGAGGGAAAACGTATTAACCGTAAAAGTTATCTAACATACGGCCCTCGCACTATTTTGATATTTACAGGCATAAAAAGTATTAAGGATTACGACTATTTACATTTGAGAAAAAATAATTAGTAATGAATACAATTACAATTTAGTGAATATTTACAATTTATACAAAATAGATCTTCGATATGGTTAGTAAAGTTAAGCTTGTTAAGAAAGATTTTACGAATTTTTTGTTTGGCGTTAGTATATGAAGAGCAAGATGGCGAAGCAGCAAGTTGCTTACAATCGCTATCTAAGCAATTAAAAAGAATGGAAGCACTGTACAGAAATGTTCGTTTACCAGAGTCAGTACCCGGGAAGGGGAACAAGATTAACAAGAAGTAAGCAATAAGCTAATTTAAACTGAGTGGTTCTTCAACAAAGTTTAAAAACCTGCTAGTTCCTGGAATAAAATCAGCCGATGAAAGTAGCAACGTGACCCAAATCGATGAAAAAGCAATCACATAGTGAGAACAGATAAGAGTGCCGTGCAACCATCTTTGAAAATATATACGGGGTTACGATGAATGCCGAGTGGTGAACGGAGTTGACTATACAGGGTGTATAAAAAAAACACTGAACAGATTTGAAATTGCTCTTAATTTCGCAAAACAGCTCGTGGTATCAAGTTTTTGTTATATATAGATTCCTTGAGTATATACCCATAATGTACAATAATGAAAAAAAATACTCTCGAACTCAAATTTTGTAAACCAGGGGGGTTGTTTCTTTTCCAACAAACTAAAAATGGCTTGCGCGCACGTAATTTAAAAGCTTTAATCGTATTTTGAGTTAATGGATGGAAAATTTGTTGGGGGTTTTAATTACTATACAAAATTTCAGACAATTTGCTTTAGTTTAAGCCTTTAACTATTCATTTGTTCCTAAAAAATCAGCCTTTTGCATGTTTAATTAATGCCTTTACTTATACGATTTGCACATTGCTGCAATATTAAAATTAGGCAAATGTATTAATTGAGCATGCAAAAGGCTTTTTTAGGGAAAATTGTAAGTTTGCGTAAACAGTTAAAGGGCGTAAACTGAAGCATATCGTCTGAAATTTCGTACAGCAATTAAACACTCAACACATTTTACCCATTAACTCAAAATACGATTAATTTAAAGCTTTTAAATCTCGTGTGCAAGCCATTTTTAGTTTCTTGGAAAAGACACACAATCCTAGTTTACGAAATTTGAGTTCGAAAATGTTTTTTCATCATTCTACATTATAAGTACCCAAAGAAGCTATACATCAAAATTAAACTGCTTTGACCAAAAATAAAAATTCAATCCCAATTGGTTATGAACAATATAAATATACGTTGGCCGAACGTCGATATATAAGCGCCAATAATAGCTATAAACGCACTTTATCGCACGTCCCCCCCGGATTTTGTACTCTGTCCTTTATCCGTCCCTTGATTGACCGCTAACTCGATAACTCGATTTTAATTTATAGTCATCCCTACAGTGCAACGGTTGCACGACGTTTGCACTAAAAATGGAGCGTTCATTCAATCCTCCTCCATCTTGGACACTGTCCTACGATAAATTCAGCGTTCAGGAGATGACATAAGAGCCATGCAATTTATTTAAACATATGGAGCTGAAAGAATAATATGTTTCATCTTCTATGTTCAGTTAATTGATACATTCCACGAGCAATAGGAGTTTACTTGGCTACTCATCTGAAATTTGTCTTTGCTGACAATAAATCGAAAAGAACGTTTTCCGATAGTTCGGCAAACGTATATATATGATATATACCAAAGGATAAATTAGTAAGAAAGATGGTATTAAGTGTATGCAAGTAACAACACGAGAGGCGAGCTTATTGTTTAAAACAGGCAGACTATACGACACTCTGGATGGAACAATACAAAGAAAAGCTATTGCATGCTATGACTATAATTGTCCTCAAAAATTTCTTTTCTTTAAGAATTCGTTTTGCTTCGGCACGACTATAGGTACAGTAGAATTTTGAAGAGCCAGGTTTTTGGACTGCTTCGTGCACAAGTTTGAAATATGTTAAAGAGTACATCACAGATGAAATATTATTGCTACCAAACCAAGGAAAGAAAACAAAATTGGACCATATTTTTCTGGCCCAAAAATCAGCTACTTTGCAGGATTAACGATGGACGTGATCCAAAGGCCAGCAACCCTATACACAACAATCAGTTTTCCATTTAGAAAACATACGATGTTTTAAAAAATGGGTACACGCTACCAATAAATAACGTTCAATGGAAATTGAAACTATTGTTTCACTCGACACGGTCATGAAATACAAAACCATCAATCCCGAAACAAACCTCCAACTTTCGACGTTGACACAGAAATACAAAGGCGCTATTAAACATGTTAGCAAATCGGAAACTGTTTGATTAATAACGAGCTAGATACGACCCTGAATTCCTGAAACATTTTAACGAATCTTTGATGAAGTAATGAATTCGATAAATTCGATTCAGAAGTAATAAATTCGATATTACTCCAAGCAAGCTGACAATTAAAATAGGTATACATACTCGTACCGCAATTGGACGCAACTAATAGAGCCATTATTTTCAGCCATGCCTATAACCATGCAATGGTAGTGTCAATTTAACGAAAAAAACATTTTTTACCTAAGAGAATATTAAAAATATTTTTGTAATTAGTTTTAATTTAAATCTAGGAAAAATAAATATATTTTGAAAATATGTTGAATTTGAAGTTTTGATTGCGAAAGTTGTAAGTTAGATGTTTCATGCTTAAAGAAACACTAGTTACAAAAGATCTTCGATATATTATTTTCAACCTCGTTCCCAGGGTCTCTCCTTCTGTCATCTGGCCGGGAGAGACCCTGGCTGCGGCTGGTCACGTGCCTCCCAGATTCTGGGAGGTAAATTTAATTGTAACTGTGAGAGGGGTTGGAAAGGAGCGTGTTTGTAGCGTTTTAAAATTGCAACTTTGGGTGATGAAATTTACTGTAAATTTGCAACAAGAAATCGTAAAGAGAACTCTTAAATTAATATTTATATCGTGACGCTCTACTCTATAATCTGGTGTCGAGTTACAATTCAAGCAAGTTGGATCAGATTTCAATATTCAACGTATAGACTTGCCAAAGAAAGCACGCTTGCCTGCCGCATTAAACCTACAAGAAAATATAGATCTCTAGACCGAACAGTGTGGTTGTTATTTATTTAGTATTAATGTCTATCCAGGCTATCCTGATACTCGGACCAAAAGAATTTATTTATTGATGAGATGTGGAATTGCAACGAAATAGCGAGATCTTTTGATTTCCGAAATATCGCCAACTGTATCCAGATTGTTGATCTATATAAAGGCCTTATCAAAAAAACTTAAAGCCCGTCAAAACACTATAAAATTGGCCCTTGGCATAGCTGAAACCAACGATCATGGTATATGTCAAAGTATAGCTGTCTGTTGAAAATCTACGGTATTAAAATCATACACCAAAGATAAGTCAAACGACATATTATATGTCACTATATATGATACATGTCTTTCAATGAGCACTGTTTAGTAGTGTTTACCACCTTTATAAATTTTGTAAACAGCTTTCGTTTTGACATGAATAAGCTTTAATTTTTTGCTGTATATGCATTCTTAATGATACAAGTGAGATTTAAATTTTTGCTTTGACTTTGTGAAATAGAATACCGTTATTTTTTAATGGACAGCTTGCATCGTCTATATCATATCCAGGATTGCTTGTGTGTAAACGCATTATTCAGTATATGACATTATCAAATAAATATAAGTAGTAAATGATTAGTGAATTAGAGATGAACAGGTGATTCGCAATGAAACCTTTAAAAATGTTAGTAGAAGTAGGCTAGAAAACTCGAAAATTTATGTCTATTCGTATGATGCCAATGACGGTCTGTGCGCATCTGGCACTGTAAATTTGTGATATAGATTATAGTATGTTAACACAATATAATGATTAATAGAGACCAAAAAAGGCTAAAGTCTTACTATAATTACCGAATACGAATTATGTACTAAATCCAGATAAACCAATGACTGAAATTTCCTCTATACTTATAGACATTTCTCTGTTCGGCTATTATCAAATGTTTATACATTTGCTAATATTGGGTCAGTCCTAGACAATACTGTTTCTTTTAAAAATCTTATAAACATGACGCGTAGTAACAAGTGAATTGGTACAAAGCGTATCAACGTTTACAAGAAAGGACGAATGTAATGGCGTATTTTAAAAACATTACAATATTAAAAAGTTTGTTATAACCGCGCTCGACTGTGAAGAGAGTATGCATTGAATAACAACACGAGAGAGCACGTACTGCGAGTAACGATTTGCTTTGTTTCTTGACTTGACTGTAAGTAAGAATGTAAGAATGTTCTTGTAAATTCAAAGCAAAGAAA